ATTTTCTATTTTGTCCTTTCGTCCAGCTTCCAACAACGATAATCGACCCCTACTCCAACCAAGTGAAGGCCTCTGGCTACTTGAAGTTCTTTGGCAACGAGCTGCGAACATTCAGTCTGGACAAGGACACTATCTGGTCATACCTGGATGGAAGTGAGTCGTCTTAGACATTGTGATTAGCCAATAGGGCCGTAGCAAGCCTGATTGAAAGGGGAGGGAGGTTTATTTTATCATGAAGTGAATCTTTTTATTGTGATTACAAACCATTCACAATGTTTAGAAGTCGAGACACTGCAGTGTGTGCTTGAAGCGTAGTTTTAGTAGAAATGTAATTTATTTGAAAAAGTGAACGAATTCCTGCTCCATTGACTTAAGGTTAACTTAGTGGAATGGTGGTCTGAATCCCCCAGAGATATGATTCCTTCTAAGATTTCCTCATTAAAAACGAGCAGAGATCTGCCGTAAAGAACAATATTCAACTGCCCTTTTGTTGAAAGAAATATGGGCACTGGGGTCTCCAACTCTGAATGGTGTCTTGATGTTTTTTCCATCGCCAGCATCTGAGTGGATGAGAGAGAGAGAGGACAAGATGCGGGCGGGCGAGAACCCCTACACCTACCGCAAGATCTTCAGCCTGGGCGGGGGCGTGCACGAGATCCCGACAGAGATAGGTCTGCCCCTGCAGCTGTGGGTAGACTCGGCCGTGGCTATGGCACTAGACGCCCAAGGCAAGGCAGTGCTGACCCCCCGCTTGACCGACATCCTACAGAACCCGGCCAGCAAGCTGGAGAGGGTGGATGTGGAAGGGAGCCTTACACCTAGGTAGGAACAGTGTCATAGCAGCTTGAATGCATATGTGTCATATGTTTCATGATGTGATTCTCTGTAATGATTGCAACGATTTTAGAATCGGCTAGCCACTGAGCTCTCACTGTCAGACTGTGAGCACTGATGGGGGGCGGTTCTTCTGCTCAAGGCAGATAGCTCCTTAGTTTAAATTATCAACCAGAATTAGAGGGCATTAATGTGGCACAACGCCCATGGACAGGTGGAACTGGACAGGTGCATTGCATGCCTCATTGACCAATAGGGTGCTGTGACTTGCCAAATGCATATGCATATAATAATATGTGCAAGTGATTGTGGTGCCAGCATAGTCAGGATGTCCCCTTGGATTAGTCTATAGGATTGCTTGCTGTATACTAACTACAGGCTTGTGGGTTCCAAACCTAGCTAAGGATTTAATTTTGAAAAAATTTGTTTCTGTAATTCTTGTTTTCTAGTTGTTGTTTTTTTCTGTTTGGGTGGAAAAGTTTGGGAAAATGTGAAATGAGAAATCGAGGAAGCCTAAAATTAGGTCTAGTTTATTTTGAATGTGGTGCAATAGGTACCTTTTATTAAAGTGTTGTTCTTTTCACTTGAAAACAATGCCACCAGACCTTTCCTGCTGTTGTTGACTTTAACCCTTTATCTCTTAGATGCACACTGAATCAAGGTTCATAAAGGACAAAAACCTGTTCATTTACCTACCTTGTTTCCAGATAGCATGTAATGGGAAGCAGAACTGATTTGTTGGGCCTTAGCAGATATCAGATTTTCTATCCCTCCAGGAACTTTTAATGGAAAAATGCTAAAATGTTGTTTGGACTGACTTTCCACTCCCAGGGCCGCCGTCTCTGTCATGGGCAAGATGAAAGTTAGCCTGGACGACAGCCTCATGTCCGGTCTGTACATCAGCGGTTCCCTGAACACCTCCGCTGTCCTGAACGGCACGGTCAATGTGAATGTGCCCAAGCAGCTGTACGAGACACGCTTCAATACTCCGTCCAGCGAGCATCAGGCTTTCTCACTGCGCAGCCGACCGTACACCTTCACCTACATCCCTGAGCCAGAAAGGGTGGGTGTTCACATCAAAGGTTGCCACCTCTCCAATATTTGTCTCTGTTGAATGTGTATCCATTACAAATGCATACCTATCATTTTTTTTGATGGGTTTGGTTACTAGAGCTCAAAATAACTGAGTGTTTGCAGTGCGTTTTCAATAGAAACCCTACTAGCTTCACTTCTTGTTAACATTTTCCAAACTGTTCTGAAGTGTTCTTTACAAGACATTTGAACTTCCTTCAAACAGAGGTTTGAGAACACAAAGATTATGCCAGCTTTGCACAGTGCCCATTTAGTTGGCATGTTGAAATACGTGTAGCTTAAACTCTGATTTAAATTCTGGTCCTTCTATGAAGCAGGTTTAAAATTGCGCAAATAACATTTGAAATCCAACAGTCGTAGAATTAAAAAAAAAGGTTTTGTTTTACCAGACTCAGACTCCTGAGGTTGCCCGTGATTCCCAGGAGAGCTACCAGTTTACAAAGAAACTGATCAAGGGCAAGCTGATGAGCCCAAGGCCTGTCCAGGTGACCACCCTCTCGTGATCTTTTTATTTTTTTAACCATGTATCTGTTTCCGTTCAGACTACATCTACCTTCCATTTCGTTTGACTGGCTGTGGCTAGGATTAATGTTGTATATGTCTATGGGAAGCGCCTACCGCCTTTTACCAGTGGCTTCCATAGGTAAACATGTTGTTACTAGCCATTGCTTCAACATTTCGATGAAAACCTATCCACCCTGAGCTGAAGTGCACCCTAACCGGCGAAAGAAAGACCGATGGTACTAAGTTTTCCAACGGGATTCTTGCACGCGTTGGGCATGCACGCAAAGACCACACACTCTAGACTAAACCGTTGCGCTTACTCAATGTGCTGCGCGTCAAACGCACATAAACTTGTGCACCTGTGCGTGCGTGAGTGCCAAAGGACAGGCAATTTCATTTCAAAAGACACCCTCTTGTGTTCCTCTTCAGAGCGGATACAAGAAGGGCTGTTAAGCTTTTCTTCCAGTGTTTTAAATTCTGAATACCAGTGAAAGGAGTCGGGAAATCTTACTTGGTGACACAGGAAACTTTACTGCATGCAGGGGAAAAAAAGGGTTGGTGTACGTGATCGTAAGGTGGTTCTATGCAGGCCTATGGTCAAAGCAAGGGACAAAGAGGTCAACTGTACTGGAGCATGTACACAGCTCATCTGGGGTCTGAGTGGAAAATGACCTGGCCTTGTGGGTGGCTGGGTAATCAGGGCTTGCTGCACATGGGTGTTGCCTAGCACCACTCCCGGCCCTGACTCATAAATAATTCATGTATATGTATAGAGGGGACAGCGCACAAAGTGCCTAGCCACAGTTAAGTCATGTATTCTTACAGAAATTTACCAATATTCATTATCAATATGCAATATTGACAATTCCAAAGACTATGTGAAGACTCTATGTAAAAGTCTTATACCATAGTCGTTTTTTTTCTTTGAAATTTTTTTTTCTGCAGAGCGCTTTCAGGTTTGGAAGGGAATCACTTGGGGTGGAGATGGAGCTGAAGACCCGTCGTGTGCCACGATCCTGCAGTTACACCTACGGCCCCACTCACTTGGTGTTCAATGGCCCCATTGATGTCAACGTCACCCTCAGGCCCGGGGAGAACACCCCTGAGAATGTGGTCGCTCACATGAAGGTGGTGGATGAGTTCAAGACACAGGAGGAGTACAATGCGTTCAAGGTACATAATCCCGCCACCGTACCCCTCCCAACCCCACCCACTTCCACCCGCTTCTCCTAACCCACCCACTTCCACCCACTGCTCGTTACCCCACCCATCCCCCTGTATCTTGAATGTTGGCATCGGGTTTACACAGGTAGTTAAGCTAAGAAGAAGAAAATTCCCGCTGAGTTATCAACTCTTTTCTTTGCTAAGCGTGCATGCCAAAGTTGAGTACTTCCCAAGTACTTAAGAGTCATTTTTACCAGTCATCATAAGTATCATTGTAAGTACTGCCATTGCTAACACAGGCTGCCCAATAACAAAGAAATGTCTTGTTGTTCAGGTATGGGTGGGTTGCCACTCACACTCAGACCTCGGGGTACTTTTGACTACTCAGTTGTGAGTATCCCTGAAAATGCATGAGAAGTACTTGACTGTAATACCGCTGAGCATAAGGCTGCCTCTTGCCTGAGGAAGGCTTGCTAGGGATCAGCAAATGCCTCTGGGAGCCTCCAAAACTACAGGGAGGCATTTTGAAAGGTCTTTGTAGAGTTCTGTTTAAGACATTGTCACTTCCAACACACAGCATAGTCTTAGTGTGAATGCACTGCCTAAGCATGGTTTGTTGTAATCATCAAGAATTTGGGTGCCTTAGCACAACATCATATAAGTACTTGATGTGCCTTGTTTGTAAACAAAATGCAAATAAGGTTCTGTTGTAAATTGTTCCCACAGGAGAAGTTCTTAGCCAAGCAGCACTTTGAGGTTGACTCAATGTGGAGGGAGTCTGAGGAGCATGACCATGAACCCGAACCCGTGCCCCAGGAGCACCTCAAATCGTTCCGCACCATGGGCATGGACTTCCTCAAGCGCTTTGAGGATTGGAAGTACGACAGCGCCCGCTGGCCGTTCACCGGGGAACATGTGGAGGACAGGTCACATGACTCGACTGAGGAGGTCATCCCTGATCCCACCAGAACCGTTGAGCTGTACCACATCTATTTCAACGTGAGTCGTGGCCTCAGTGGCCAGTTTAATTGACTTTTGACATCTTAGAAAATCTGTTTTTATGAGACGTGTCATGTTACACACCAAACTGCCCTGGAAACCAGGTACATGTAGTGGTGGAAATATGTTTTGCGTGTTCAATCCCAAATTTTTCGTTGTTGCAAGTAAGATCTTTGCTACATGAATATTCGTAGTACCAACACTAGAAACAGTGGGAACTAGTCAGTAATGAAATTAGTCGTTCATTGTGTATCAATTAATATTCATACATATGCAGATCAGCACCAATGGCAGCCAGCCAATCCGTGAGCTGATCAGCCGCATCAGTCTGGACCAGCAGGATGAATTCTACAAGGCGGTGCGCTTTGATGTCATGACTGCTGAGAAGACCTTCCGTCCTGACCCTATCCACGTGGACCAGATCAAGGAGTGGACAGAGGAAATCCAGGTATTCACTTCACAAGAGAGTCAATTTCAGTTTAATTCAAGAAGCCTTTCCGAACCATTTTATAGAGATTCTGCGCTGAAATTACCACTTAGCGAATATATCTGCTGAGCAAAAGTCAGCTGTGGACCAGTAACAAGAAGTACAGAATGCATAGCATTTTGGATGGTAACCAGCTTTTACTTAGCAGATATTTTCTGTGCTTAGCAGATTTCTGCAGTCAGAGCTGTATGAAATCAGCCCGAGATTGTTTATCGAGGTCCATGGGAATGAAATGAAGATTTCTCTTATTTTTGTTGTTGCAGAAATCAGGCTGATCAAGTAATCTTACCCTCTCCTCCAAGAAAGAGGAAAACTTCCTACGTTTGGTTAAAAGTTGATAAAGTGGACTTGAAACTTTTCCTTGCAATTGAATGAAGCTTCACAATAACTCTTGGTTACTTGTTTTGATCAACTTGTATCCTTGCTTCTTTTGTATAGACACTCTGCATGCAAGGGGAGCTTGAGCACCCAGCCTATGGTGCGACCCTCCCTGAATCTGAGAAACTGGAACCCATCCCGGGACTGCCAGACGTCGCTCAGGATCCTAGAGTGCTCTTTAAGTTCAGCACTCAGTGGGGCAAGAGCTGCTTGGAGGACCAGAAGATGCAGATCAAGGTAAAGAGTTTGACACTCAAGTTTTTTACTGGTTAATACCTGTGTGACTTACTCAGTGGAAACTACTAGATGATTGAAGTGGGTTGCTCTGAGTGGTCTACTGAGTGTCAAGTGAAGTCGAACATGAACCTATCACCACTGGAGTGCTGTTTTAGTGCTCTATGATCTGACAACCCTAATGTATGAGCTTGTCACCATTGCTCTACTGACCACTTACTGAGGTTGGGCGTGAATCACTCACCACTAGAATACAATTCAAGTGCTCTACTGACTGCCAGTTACAATGGAGAGTGGACCCGTTGCCGATAGAATTCTGCCGACTGAACTGCCTGTCCCCACATCAGTGGTCTGAAATTGAGTTGTTCTGCTTTCGTGTATTCTTCATGTTTTACTAGATAATGATGTACTGGTCCAATTGCAATTGGCTGTCATATAAATGTCGGGACAGTGGCCTCCTGAACACGGCATCTGTGTGATATCTGGGAAAGATAAAGGTCTGAAAGTTGCCCGACGAGTCTTCCCTTTTTTTTTCATTGTTGGTCTACAGGCCCGTCTCCAGAGATCCAAGAAGCAGCAGGAGGAGCTGAGTGAGGAGACGCCTGACAAGATCGAGTGCCTGAAGAACATCCAGGAGACCAATAACAGGTACACCCAGGCCTGCAAGTCGCTGCGTCGGGAGCGAGAGGAGCTGCGGGCAGTCCACGCCGAGCTGACGCACAATGAGGTAGGTGGTCAGGAGAGATGGAAGAAACAGTTGTAAAGCGACGAAGAAAAATGACACAACTATCTAACAAGCAAGGCTAGAAAGGGCAGAATTGATTGTTCAGGGATGCTGTATGGTTTCTGAAGACCCATCAGAACACATTAATTGTTGGCTCCTTTTTTATTTAATTTTGTGGGATTTGGCAAGAACTTGTTGAATTCAATTGGAAAGTCAACTGGTTCATCTCATTGTAGCACTTAGCTAGAACTTACAAGAAAAGAACATTACATTATGCAGCAGTAAATGAAAGATGCAGTGTTTACATTACCACGACTGGGACTTTTCCTCGTGTTTGTGTTCACAGCATGTCAAGAAGACTTACAAGACCTTCTTCTACCAAGGCCTTGAGTGGATCAAGAAGTTCATCTGGGGAATTGTCAAGACGGAACAGGCTGAGGTCCACAACCCTGACAAGACGGTAAGTCTAGAATCTAATAGGAGATGGCCAACCGCGTGCCTGTGCTAAATGCAAAGGCTAGTGAGATTGTAATACATTGAAAAGCTGCATTAAAACCTTCAAATAAATATTAGAAATAAAAGACAGTGTCGGGGTGGAGAACTCAGTTCATTTATGTAGCTCTCAGACCATTTATTGGAAAAATTTGTATCGTTCAAGGACTGATTCAGTTCTTATTCTTACACAAGTTACCTGATATGCGTATTGTAATTAGTATCACATGTGGTTTTTTTTCCCGGGAAAATTGGCTGGGATGCCCCACTCCTGAAATAATTACCTTTTGTAAATTTTTCTGAGGATTTCTTTTTAGGCACCATTTCAAAATTCTTATATTAAAGGTAGGTGTTGGACAGAATGGTCCGACTGATACATTTATTATTGGTTGGCTACCAAGTGAAGTGTTCTCAAGTGTCAATCCTAACCGATAAATGCCTTTTTATTGCATTACTCCCAAGGCTATGTGGTTTCAGTGGAGCAACACCGCCTCCATTATTCACTCGACACAAGTCACTGGTCGGATGGCCCTGTCCTATGGTCAACTGACAGGAATTTTGAAATGATGCCTTAATGGACCGAACGATTCCCTGCTACATAGTACCAAGTTTTTGTGAGCAAGAATCCATGAACCTGTAAGCGTTGCCTTTCATTCTCTTAGGTCCTGGTCACCGGTGAGCTGGAGAAGACCCTGGACAAGCTGAACGTCTCCATCAAGCACGTGCACGGCAACGTCAGATTTGACCGTCTCTACATCCCCCAGTTCCTCCAGGACCTGAAGGTTCTGCAGCCATACAAGCTCCAGCAGCACATGGTGATGAGCTACAGAGACGACCTGCTCAACGGACGCAACATCAGTGAGTCACTCCTTCCCTGTATTAGTTCTTTCATTTTAAACTAATGCTGGGTTTTTAATGTATCAGTCACTTTTAGATTTGTCGTTTAACATCTGATTGTTTCAATGGAACAAATTCCCCCAAATCCTGGTAAAAATCTGCATTTTAATTAACTATACACATGCATATTGAATACAATTTGACCTTTTCTGTATGCCACCTAGTTAAGATATTTGTTCTCTGTAAATTATGTTGGAAAGAGGTGTTAGCTAAATATTTTAAACTTTCAAAAGGTCAAGTCAAGCTGTAATCTGTGACGGTGAAAGTCTTGAGAGTGGGTACCCTTACTTTAGTTATTTTTCCCCGGACTTTTCCAACGCCACAGACAAGTGCAAGTCTCTGAGGAACAACTCCATCATCACCTTTGACAAGAGGATGTACAACTACGAGCAGAGCAAGTGTGATCACATCCTGGCAAAGGATTGCTCCAGTAAGGAACGCTTTGTCGTCTTGTCCAGGAAGCTGGCCCAGACCAGCACCAAGAAGGTTAGTTCATCAGCCTTTCATCTTGCCCTCGAAAAGAATTCTTAAATCAAAATTTGTGGCCCTCTAACATTCAAAGATTCAGATTTTCTGAGATTTCAATCCACTCTGGATTAAAATTCATCCGATACTTCATCATTGTTGAGGGATTCTCTGAAGTGACTTCCATAGCACACTTCATGACATTGATTAGTTAGTCCCTGGTCGACTTCTGAATTGAGTGAAGCATCCTTAACTTAACCTACCCGCAAAGAGCAAGGTCCATGGCATTCCTGCTTTGCAAGTTTATATGCTGAGGAAATATTTGTGCTTTCTAATCTAATGGCATTCCTGCTTAGCAAATTTATATGCTGAGGAAATATTTGTGCTTAGTGATCACTGTAACACTCTCCACCCCCCCTCCTTTCAGATTGTCACTGTCTACATCGACAACACCAAGATCCAGTTTGTACCCAACTTGATGGACGAGGACGTGGCCACCCTGATCAACGAAACCAACGTGAACCTGGAGGTACTGAAGAAGCTCATCATCCAGGATGGTGTGATCAAGAAGGTTCCCTTCGGCTCCCATACCGTCCACATCATGGATGCAGAGAAGGAAGAAGAGCCGCTGCTGAATCGGAAGCAGGTAAGGGAACATCTCACAAATGAGAACATTCCTGGTCCCACTGGAACAGTCCTTTTGGGAGCGCTTTGCTCTCACCGGAACATTCTGTAATGTCCCAACTTTTGAGATGGTCCCTGAGCCCTGGCAGTCAGGTGACCTTTACGGGCCATCCCTGAGTGGTCCACATGATGGAAATGCAAAAAACATGTTGAGAATTACATACCTTGCACTCAGTGGATTTCCTTTGCTTAATTTAGCTTAATTTCAACCTATTGTCTGATTCAAGATAAACTTGACTTCTTGGTCAGGGATGTACTCTATGTATATTGCTTCTTCAGGAAAGAAGACCTTAAATTGTTATCTGTTAAATTGTTTACCTGTTGGTAATCTAAACCAGTTTCTCAGCTTGTTTGGATATGTTCCTTATTTGATGTTTTCATGCCTACTTTTATTCTCCAATCATATTTCCTAGTCCTGTCATATGCCAGAAAATGTCCGCTCGCAGGAGGTCGAGATGGGAAGTGAGGAACTGAGGCACTGGGAGGAATGTAAGGAACACATCAAGGCCTACCTCGCCATGGCCCCTCAGGAACTGCCCCCTAAGCCCAAGACGCTGGCTAAGATCATCCGCACCAAGCTGGGTGACTCCATCATGCTCTTTGCCCGCGAGCAAGAGCTGAAGGTCTTCTTTGACGGTCACAACGTCAAGGTGGAGGTGAGTCTGGACAGGTGGTCAGTAGGGCCCTTGTCTCATAAAGCTGCCGAGTTTAAAATATTGCTTAGCAGATTTTTTTCCACAGCAAAACTCAACTGAGGTCCAGTCAAAAAATGAAACTTTTCATGTTTTGCAGGCTACCGTCTTTTTTGCTAAACGGTTACTTTTCATGCTTAGCCAGTTTTGGTACCTTGAAGCTCTGTAAACTTTACCCCTGGCTGAAACTGTAGTCTGTCAATGGTTGTTTCTTTTCTTTGCCGGTGTAAGAAAAAAATCTACAAGCATGTTAAGCCTTTGTCAGCTTTTCTTTCTTGACCTTTCTGTTACTATTTTGGCTAAATCTGAGTTGGTTTGGAAGTTGTTGACATCTTTGTTGTGCTTTCCCTTAGCTAATTGATTGGGCGAGATAGGTGGAACTGAACATACACCATTTCTTGTTCATCTACACAGCTGCCCCAGAAGTACAAGGGCCTGCACTGCGGTCTGTGCGGCGATTTCAACGGTGAGGTCTCTGATGAGTTTGTGGGTCCAAACAGGGAGATTTATGACAACTGTCATCGCTTCGGATACAGCTATCAGCACTCCACAAATGAATGCGCCAAAGGTAGTGTGAACATTCTTGAGTTGTAATACATGTATTCATAAACTTACTGTAAGGTTAGCTTACTAGACTCAGAGGCGTCAAGGAGATCCAGACTTGTCATTCAATTTTGGCTCTAAAAATACTACATTAGAATATTTCTCAAGTTCGCGCAGTAAACAAAGACTGACTTTGGCTAGTAGAGATTTGAAGGGCACTTACTGAGTTGGTGGGGTCTCATGCAATCAACAGAAAACCAGTGTGCACCAGTGATGGAGTTTGCCTATGCCACTGAAATTATTCTGCCGGGCAACAAAAATCAGTTTGCCTGCATCTCCAAGAGACCATTGCCCACATGCCTGCCAACTTGCCGACCGACTGAGGAGGAGACCATTGACGTGGAGTTTGTCTGCATGGAACACGAAGGCGACTATAACCCCTTCCCAACGACGAGCACCCGCGATGTCATCATCAAAAAGTACGGCAACAAGATGGCTGACTATAAGATCAAGATGCCGATGGTTACCAAGTGCGGCCACCCGAATTAGACCCATTCAGCAAGAAGGAGTTTCAAAGGACAGTTTTCTGATGCCGGACCGAAGTTTCGCAGATAATTCACCCAATAGCTTTTTACACTTACCCACAAATATCCTTGCTACAATTCCATCATAGGTTCACGATTTCTTAAAACTTTGCGAAGCATTTTTTAAATTTTGCCTTTTTCTGTGTGAAATGTCTTGTGTTTCAGATTTGTATATTTGTATTGGGAAGTTGAGGTGAGGGTTTAAAAGCCTTATGGGGCATATTGAGAAAAAGAATAAAAAAAAAAAACGAGAACGACAGTGGGTCCTCGTGAAGTTGAGTGAAATGCACGAAAGTGGGTTTTCCCTTGCGTGTAGGCCTTATCTCATATTCCTGGCATACATGTACAATTTGGTGGGAGGGATTGAAAAATGATTCAAAAAAGAGGCGAAAAAGTTGCTTCATGGAACTTGAAAATACACAACTTTTATATAATCAACAGTCAGTACAACAGCAAAGGCTGATGAGAGACACCTCAAATGTAGTGATATTAAAATGCTAAAATTCAAACGAAGCAAATATATTCATGACATTAGTAGGCCTAGATACCTAAAGTTTGATTAAAAAGTGGCTTTAAGATCCATATATCAGTGTGACATGCAAAGATCAGAACTTGTGCTCCAACATTATGGTATTCAAAAACCTGGTGAGGAATTTTCAATAAACTTAACTTTAAATTACACGTTAATATAACGTGTGCACGAGCCATGAGCGTGGTGTGTACATACATTTCAGTGTTGCTAAGTGGACCCAGACCCAAGTTTTTGGAAGGCCAATTCGGGGGGGGGGAATAATTTGAGGAGTTTAATGTAATCGTCATGGGCTTTCTTAGGTGTGAGAATAAATTTGAACTGAAAGAAATGAGATGAGTCAGGGGTGCCACGGTCACGGTCCCATTTAAACATCCTGCAGATTTCAAGAGTCCATAGAATGCATGTCCGGGAATAGGGGACCCCCCAAAACTGAGCTCCCATGAATATGGTGGACAATAAATCCCAGGGGTAGAAGTCAGGTTGGTGTTATCACTCTTTTCTGGAATCACCGGCGGCGGAACGATTTCAAAAATGTGGGGGGGGGGGCAGTCGGACCGTCATGTGTCAGTATTAATGGGTGGATCCATTAAGCCCCACCCCATTATAAGGCTGGTAAAAAGTGGGGGGGGGGGCCAGGCCCCACAAGTTGAAAAAAAAAACCGGCATACGCTGCCAGCGATCACAAAACAATGAAACAAAACACCAAGAAATATTGTAACACTGTTTTTAAATTTTTTTTTATAGAATTGGTAAGCATGTGAAGGAAGCAATGTGTGATTCTACCTCCATGGTTTAGGCCTCCGCGCCCGATATTGGTGGATATTTTCGCAAGCACACTTTGTGAGATCATGGAGGAAGGAACTTCCTTCCTCCATGGTGAGATGCATGGAAGTTGCTTTCAATTGATAAGAGTGCAACTTACGAGAACTTTCTTTGCTAGTGGCACCTTCTTTTACTCGTTTTGCCATGTTTTAAGTAATGCAATTTAACAGGCTGAACTTAGATACGTCGGTTTGCTTGTCTGCAAGTACTGAGACAGTAAAAAACTCCAGCCTGACCCCCATGGAAAAATTCCTGCTTACCAACTGCCTTCCACTTGAAAGCTTGAGCGGGGTAAAATTAATAAAAATTGTACATGTACTTTGAGCATACTGCATAATTCATATTTTCAAGTGTGGACGCTTAATCAAATGTGACGTCAGTGAAATTATCATAAGTGCCTTCCCCCGGATGTGATACTGCCTCTGCCGATTCTCTCTCCAATCCAACACGACTAGGGCTAGATCATTGCCAGCAGTGCCGCGTTGTCCTACGTGCTTGCTGCAACTGGTGAAGACTTTGACATGCAGCTAGACATGATTCGGATCGGATGCGGCTAGCGCAGCCATACCGGAAAAATGGCAGACACACAGGTGGAAGACTTGGAATATCATGTCACGTTCCCAACTGCAATTTCTGCAGATAGCGGGGACGGAAACAGCGACAACCCAGCTCAGTCAGATCGCAAAGAGCCAGTGGTTATTTTGCTTGGTTGGGCGGGCTGCGAAGACCGACATCTGAGCAAATACAGCGCTATCTACCACTCAATAGGCTTCACCACAGTTCGCTACACACTGCCGAGCCAGCACATGGTGAGTGCGCCGAAGATAAAAGTCATCGCACGGAAGGTTCTTGAATTGGTTTTTGACTTGGGCCTGGAGGAAAATGTGGTGTTTTTTCACGTTTTCAGCAACGCAGGATGCTTTATCTACCGGTACATCACGCAGTATCTGCACAACCCGGAGTTTGGTGGCGGCGAACTAGCTTCAATTAAAGTGGGCGGATGCATCTTCGACAGTGCTCCGTGCGCAACCAGCTTGTTGATGTATCTCAAAGTTCGCAACAGGGCTGACAAGACGAGCGGCTTCTTCATGCGGATCGTCCACATAGTCATCATCCTTTTGGCAGGCATCTTGAGTTTCTTCTTACCGTCGGGTTCGTCTTGGAACATACGCCAAGATATTTCCTCCTTCATGTCTGAAATGAAAATTGACCGGTCCCGTTACCCACAGCTGTACCTTTACTCCAAGACGGATGATATCTGTGACTGGCGAGGGGTGGAGGATGTGGTGGAGGCACGCAGGAAGAAGGGGTCGGAGGTTCAGCAGGTGTGCTGGCAAGAATCACCTCACTGCGCTCACCTCCTCGCCCATCGCGACGAGTACATTCAGAATTGTCAAGACTTTGTTCAAGGATGTCTGCTGACTTTCATGGATGAGGATTGACTCTGCCAAATGACCAATATGAATTGAAAAAGTATTCCTGGCAACAAATAGATTAGTCTTCTTGTAATAGTAACCAAACATGCAGAATATGTGGCACGTAATATTGCTCAAGTCGGCATCTGGGTATTACTATTAGGCCCTATTGTGGAAAAAAACTTTAAATAAGTTTCAACTTAATCTGTTCATGAACCTTTGCAAGAGTTTGCTGGGATGAAGATATTGCTTATTAGGGACAAGTTAAACAAAGGATGTTGTCGGCATAAAGTGTTTTGATTGTTATGAAAACACTCACTGCTGAAATGATCTTGGGATTTTAACATTGGAATGGTAAAACATCTATTCAGCAAGTTCACATACAGTGTATAACTTGTGTAAAAAATGCATTTTATCAACTCTGAATTCTGCAAGATGCTTGAGGATGGGGGAGGGGAGCTGTGGTACCCCAAAGCAGTTGAACTGGACGGGCACACTTTTCTTTCTGCCCAAATTTAGCTTTATACAAAGGAAGTCCATAAAGAAGATATAAATCAAATTATTCCTTCCCCAGCCCAGAAGTTGGCCTTGAAAATTTCAAGTCTGGGTTTACTCTTTATGTAGTATACAATGTAGTAGCAACACTGGTGTGCACGTACACGCATCATGAACCCTAACCCCTGAGGCCCTTTTTGTTAGGGACCTGCCTCAATCCTCCAAAATTTCTTGAAAATGTTACTTGGAGGTGTGGCTACTGCCTCAATCCTTCAAAATCCTCCGGCAATTCCTGTCATTATGTTGAGGCAGTGCCAATGGCATTCTTGAGCAGTGTGGTTGATGCAAAAGAAATATCAGGCTGAATTTATGCATGACTGAGCAAGAACAACACAAGGTCTAACCCACGACCTTTACTCATGGCGTCCTTTGCAATCAGCTTTGCACTTTTGCCATTCACCCTCAATCCTCCAAAACCGCCTGAAGGATTTTGGAGGAATGAGAAGGGTTAGGGTTAACGTGTCATTTGTACCAAATGATCAATTCCTTACCAGGTTTATTGAGTACCATAATATTGGAGCAAGTTTTCATGTTGTATGTTACGCTGATACACGGATATTTGAGGCAGTTGCCCGAAGTTACTTTTAAAGAAACTTAAATACACGTGTATATATTTGCTGTTTGATCTTTTAATTTCACTGCATTTGAGGTGTCTTACCATGTGCTGTTGTGGCGAGTGTTGTTTAAATAAAAGTTGTACTTTGAAATTCAGTGAAACAGCTATGCCCATTTTTGCCACTTCAAGTTTTCCCCTCCAAGTTGTACATTGTGTCATGAATGTGTAACAACCTGAACACGTGAGAAAACACAGTCGTATTTTACTATACTTTATGAGGCCCCTGCTGTTTTATGTCGACTTGAGAAAAAATCATCTCCAGAGGACATTCCATAAGTCCTCGGTTAACTGGATGTGCCCCACTGCGTCAAGTCCTCATTCATCAAGGAAAAAATACACAGACACAAAAACCATGCAAACTATCCATAAGTGTGGTAGTTTTTGTTACAAAACCAAACTTTATTTAATCTGCTCGTCTTCAATATATGTTACATACATGTGAACATTTCATTTTTGTTTCTTTTAACTGTCCAATCTATCACTCCAATTTTGTGTCAACCGATACAACCCATGAACTCGCCTAAAATCCAACCAAATTTCTTCAGTTTTCTCCCCATGAGAATGCTAATCGGATTATATCATGTCTGACAATAAATACAGTTTTAGTGTATACAATTGTGGTAGGCCGAACTGTAGAAAAAATGACCAGTACAAAGCTACAAAAACCACTGATGTAAAATTTGTACATTTGATATCCGCACATTAACTGAAGCATTCGTGCCAGTCCACTTTTAGCAAAGCTGGACATAAGATACACCCTCCCCTAAAAAAAATTGGTTTAGCACACATGAATTCCATATCAGGCCCCCCCCCATTTTGCTCTTCAATAGTATGTGATAAGAAAAAGATAAGTTAAACTAGGAGATGCAAAACCCCAATTCTGATGAAGAGATAAGTAGCCAGTCTAAACAGGCCGTCGGTTTGAAACCATGCACGCTGAGATGCCCACTGAATTGTGATCGGGACTGCTGGTCACCACTGACCTGTCCAACTTCGATGATGTCATGCATCGATATTTCCTCTTCCTCTCGTGATTGGATAAAAAGAACTCTTGGGAGAACCAGTGATAGACGAGTGTCCACACATAAAATGTACACACATACGTAAAGTTCCTCTCATCCCTGTGAGAGACCGGCAAACGGTTCGTCTCCCAGGTGACGGGAGGAACAGAAAAGACATAAATAAGCAGTTGTCAAACAGTTGTAAAAAGGAATGAAAGAGATATGCTGTAGTGTAATACAGTCTTTGTTACTTTAGAATAAAGAAGTAAATGAAACTAAACAGAACCCAAAAATTGCTAGAGGACAGAAAATTGCCCAAAGAAAACTATCAAAGTCCTCTATAACAGACCTTTGCAAGAGAAATGATTTGCACTTTATCCTGTGGGAACAGACTCTGTTATAACTTGTTAGCCAAAGTTAACCAGTCTGTGCAACTTTTTAGAAATATTCTTAAACAAATCAGAGGGTACAAGCAATTGTAGTTTTGAACAGAAAAAAAGTAGGATAAAGTCACCAGCAGGGCAAACAAACACGCCCTTCTCTCTAAAAGGCAAATGATTGGCATTCCACCTTGCTGAGGAATTTTAAACTAGCTCCAGTGCAAATGATTTCTCCAACACACCAACTGATTGCCCCAACACCAATAGAGAAAAAAAAAACCACCTCGGCACATCAGTTTAATTCTTCTCAAAGTTAATACGAGATGGACTCCCATTATATTACATGCTACTCACTACAAGGTATAAAGAATCATATAATACAGAGACTATTCATAATATACTCAACAGCCTGTACGTAGAAACACTGAGAAATACACCAAATCCACAAGTATAAAGTCGGCTTTCTTTTACCAAGGAAAGATTCAAAGGTGTCATACAAAAAGCATGCACATATGAATAACCTGTTTAATTACAACAAGTATCAGATCTTGTCAGAAGTTTTGGACACATATTGTAGATAAGAGGGTAAGGACTGTTTTGTAAGGAGAAGTTGGTATTGGTGATTGTGAAAAGGACAAATTAATGCCTTCCTAAAGCAAAAACCTGAATAAAAATGATGTAAAACATGTGGACAATCCAAACTTGTTATATCTGTTCAGTGTCACAGAAAATGGCCCAGGAAGGAGATATAAATATGTGCTTTTGGATTCTGACTAAATCTGAAAACCAATGACAAGACCCATACGGCAGTAGAATAATTCCTACAAAGATAACTAAATTAAGTGGCTGTTACAGGAATAGCCAAAAGTCCACTCCAGAGTCCAGAACAGCAATTATAACGAGGCTAACGAGAAGTAAGCGATACAAGGGTATAGCATGCAATGAATTATCCACTTTAGAAGAATAAAACAAGTCAACTTGTTACTTTTTAACCACTGTCTGTGTGCTTAAGTAAGCCATTATAGCTAATGCAGTTGGGAATGTAGCATCTTGGTGGTCACTTGGTATGATTAAATTTACCAGACATAAATGTTAATCACCTTATGACAGATCACGGAACTCCATTTTCATTGAATTTAGAATGAAAAAGAACATGGTAACAGAACAACTGACAAATACAGCTCTTACAATTTTTTTCCGCCCTTTCAAAATTGAAATCTAATATTTACAGACCTGTAAGACTGAAAACAGCATCTTTTACATGGGTGATATGGCACTTGTCAAATCAGTCCATATCATGATTTTGTGCATGCGTGATCGAACTACCTTGGACAGTCTTGTAATTTCAAAAGAATTAATGCCCTTGTCTGTCGGACCTATGTGTCTAGTGATCCAATGATCTCTCCACAGACGCAGAAATTGTACAGAATGCATGCAGTCTAACTCTTACAAATGTGCCTTTTCTGGCAGGCTCAAATTAGAGCGTGTCTGAGGATATCCGAGACCTGCTACATATTCGTGAGGGGTCAGCCCATTAAGGGTGGCCATATGATGATGCACACACACTACACATGGCCGAACTGGTGCCCTTATGAAATCCTGAACGAGCTCACGGATATAGGAAAGGTTCAACAGGTGGTCTAACAGGGCCTTGCCATTTGCATGATGAACTCGTCGGAGGGTAAACAAGTTTACGGTTCATTTGCTTGGCAAAAGGTTGGGGTCTTTCAGTTTCAAATGAAAGAAATCAAAATGTCCCCAACAAGGAAACCCAGTTATTGGCTGCTGTCTGAGGAGACACTTCAGATGCCTTTTTTTTTTTGGCAAAAAGAGAAGGCGTGAGCAAAAACAGGAGCAGTAGGAAGCATAAATAGGGCAATCTGGACAAGTTGCTGAGGGGAGGGGACACAGGAGGAAAAGGAAAAAAAAAACCACACGCAAACATTAAGAAATATACAGAGAATTGGAAAGTTGAGAGGTCAAAGGTCACAGGATACACCTTGACGAGTCCAGAAGCACGTGGCAGCTACACAGCTGAAAACAACACAGCCACAAACAACCAGCTGCGTGGCAGACAGGCAACAAGGCAGATTTCTCAGATTAAAATGGGCCCAGGAAAAGTCATCCAGACACCGTTCCAGTAGACAGTTTCAATGGGAATAACAAATCACACTTTGACAAGTGAGCGGACAATACAGAAATACGAAAGGTTCCACGTGTGCTTCTGAACTCGACTGAACTTTGTAATAGAGCAAAGAGTGGAAAAAACATGAATACCAGAGATGTAAAACAAGAGGTGAGGGGGGGAAAAGCAAGAAAATACCTGCACAACGAGAATGAAAAAAGAAGGGCAGGACTGACGAGTGAACAGTTGTAGAAAGTTGAGGCAAATAGCAAGGACATAAGGCTGTTGATGAGACACTGTGAGAGAGGGCTGTGCTAGTAAGTGTGAATAAAAGCTTCTTTTCTCTTTTAAACACCAGTGTATAAGGCACACAATTTTTATTGTTTTCGTTAAATCATTTTTTTTTTTTCAGCCTTCTGTGTGGAATGATTTTCATAATGGTATGGTCCAAAGTCTTCCTTGTGTCAAGAATTCGCAGAGCTGGCCAGGTGCCACCTTTGGAAGGGTGGCAAAGGTGAAAAGTAGGTTATTGCAATTGCAACCTGGAATCCTACAGGCGCCACTGTGCGAAAACTTGATCTCGCACATAATCCAACCAGCCAAATTTTTGTTTCGGCTTACAGGAAAGCAAAGATGAGATTTCTCCTTCCACAATTTTTCTTTTATAACAACACGTTTTGCATTATATACAAGATTGACTTATTCAAAAAATTGTTTAAGGAGAACCCCTTACTATTAATACTGGAAATAATGCATGAAGTTGGGAGGTTGGAAAACATGTCTACAATATGTATTTTGAAAATTTTTTTTGGTAACTGTTCCATTTTTAATATGAAAAACCATTCCAATTTCAGGCAGTTAATACAACTAATATTATTAAAAATCATGCAACTCTATCTCCCAACAAAGACTCAGTATCTACAATATCTGCGTTATATACTCTTGAAAAAACAAAATCTTACACGTTTTTGTTCATTCAATCTACAAGACATGGAATAAACTTTACTTGACTGGTACCAAAATATATATATTCAAGCCTCCAAAAATCTTATTTCTCTTCCTCTCTTAACACCCCCTCTAACTATTAAAAAAAATGGAGAAACGAGATAAAGCAAAACAAACCAAAACCACAAAAAAGTGAATTCGAATGACCCTGCAGCTGTGTGTACGACCCCAACGTGGATGATTAAACTATTGATTTCTTAAATTAATGTTACAGTATCATTATTGTAAAATTTGGGGCATCTGCTAAACAAAAGAAGTTAAGTTCCTTTTTTGGGGGGGGGGACTTTGCTTTACATGATTCACCCTGTTTGGAGAGGCAAATTGATTGAGGAGGTGTGAAGTACTGAACTGTTATTCATAGAGAGATTTTTTTAACAATCCCCAACTCATGAAATCTGATTATATGCATACTATATTTTCCCATATGCTAGCATTTCTCGAGGAAATTTTGCCATCCGTTCAATCCAATCAGAGAAAAAAAATCTTCACTTCATCCAGGACAATTCATGCAACTCAACAGATTTGAAGAAAAAAAAAATGGCCCAAACAAAATCAACGAAAGACAGAAACTTTAAATTAATGTCAGTTACATTCGGCTGTCCAACCTGCTAGAAAGTTGACAAATCGGAAATTACATTTTTCTCTAGGAACGACATGCCTGCTCAGGAGGTACGAAATTAAAAATATAAATATTAAATCGGGAATATACAGTGCCGTGAATGGATGGATTGTCATTGTGCAGATATACAAACAGGACATATGGTAAAACTTTCCTTGCCTAGAGGTTTTTGTCTTCTTGTTTTCCCTCTGTGAATGTATTCACCTCTTTGCTCTATCATCATTAGTATATACAAATGACCTCCAACCTATCACTCTTAACAGTCATATTACATTCATCAGTATAACAAATCTATGTATTATTGCCAAAAAAATGCACATTCTTCAAATAAAAAACTGTCCACTTTAAACAGTGAACGTCCTCTTTATTTTAGGATGTGAATAAAAACGGACAACCCTTTTTTTATATTAAACTTGCAGCTGAAACTCAAACAATAAGTCCCAGGATTTGTCGGCTTTGAAATTCAAAAATTTAAAGATTCCATTGCCGGAGGATTTTGGACCCAAATTTGAAACTGATAGTGGTGAAATATCTTTTCTTAGAATTGTTCCTTCGGGATTTCCTTCAAATACAAGATGAAAAATGACACACATTTAAGTATGACAGTGACCAATGATGTCACACCAAGATGTAAGAAAACCGTCATCTCATTACCAAAAGAAACAGAAAAAAAACCTTGTCAATTCTGATAAAGTTATAATACAACTGCATTCTTTAAGACTCAAGAAAAAAGTACAATCAACACATGCATCAATATACCTCTCACCACAGCAAATAAAAACGGAAAAAAAATTCAAAAGGCACAATGAAAGGAAATGGTCCATTTCCCAGACACTGTGATATCTATTCTAGAGATTTACAATGAAAACAAAAACTTTCACACATTACACTGATCAAAGGGGAGGCGATCATCAGAAAATACTGACAATTTGTGACGAAGAAAAAAGTACTTGCATGGAGGTGATTTTTATGATGTGGCTCCACACGCATAACCCCAATAATACCAAATTAAATTGCCATTATTACGTTTAATTTTTCCCTCTTAAAATGCATTACAAGAAAGCCCAAAGGACACGGATAATTCTCTTATTGTTTCTTGTAAATTATGTCAAAATCACAAAATGTGAATATTTTTTGGATCCCCTCTCCTGTCAACAGTTACCAAAAAAACATTAGAGATATATCCGTTCTTTCCCACTATGAATGACAAAAACTACAATTACAACATGCAAAAATGGCCCTCTTTGTCAGATAAATTTTTAAAAGCATTCAGATTAAAAGTCTCCCCCTTAGAAACACAATTTATACACCTGTTAACCTCCATCTGCCTTTATTCCAAAACAACTGATAACTGTAATTTTTTTTTGGTCCTTGGACCCTGAAGGGACACAAATCACAAACAAAAAGCAAATCTGGGTCCTGGGTTACAAACGCTAGGATCCTTCAGCAGAGAGTCCAGAAGATGAAAGATGGAAAGCTGACCATCCTTTGACAACAAACTACTCCCCCTGCCCAACATGGTATACTCCAAATGAATACTATTGTGATTGCTCTATAAGCAGATCAGGACTTGCTCCATTCAGTCCACGGGGGTGGGAAACACTGGCCAATGTTCAAACTTCAGAGATCATTTTTTGAATCAAAACCCCCATGTCAACGGTACAATGAAGCAAACCCTAACTTATACCATTGACTTGGAGTACATTCCATTTGGCAAAATGGGGGGGTCTCTATGTCATCTGTGTTTTGGAGAAAGACACCCTCAGATGATTTGACTCGCTAAGCTGGTAGTTGTGCTGCGCCTGATAAAATGAAAAAAACAAAAACAAAACCAAGTACATATGTGTAAATAACAGGGGTGTGAATGGAAACATACGAAGAAAAAAGCTACATGTACATCTAAATCCAGTAGGCAAAAGGCTGAAACATTGACAGTTTCCATAATTATGGACATACCGGAAGCAGGTGTAAAAAAAAGGTTAAAGCTAGGATAAAAAGCTGAATTCTCCCACTCCTGAAAGAACCAATGTCCTGATGTGCATATTGCCAGCAAAAGTACTCTGAACATGGAACTCAATCAATTTCTTTTTAACAGGTGTAATTTCATGCTTAAAGTCTGATTCTGCACAGGAAGGCAGATTCAATATACACCTCTCACTCTCTCTGCCCTAATACACCTGTAAACATAATAACATCATGTTTTGTTTACATGAGATTGGCTACGGTAGTGAGGTGGGCTGTGATCCACTGAGCTCTCATACGTGTAAGGGAGTGCACATGTAGGAAAAGCATGACGTATATGTAGGCCTATTGCTCAATGGAGGTTCTGGATGCCGTCTGCAACTTAGTCACCCAATCAGCACATTGGATGGTAAAAAATCGAACCAGCCGAAGCAAGGCCCTGCTCATGTTCCCCAGCCCTAACGTTCAGTCACTTACAATGAGAGCGTGTGTAGCCTCTTCCACAGAACCCATCTGGATCAAGGCCATGCGCCGATCCTTCCTGTAAATCCGAGAGCAGCAAAAGCAAACAGTGCAATCAATACAAGTGCTACCCGACCGAACTAAACGAATCGCTAGAGCGTCATCTATGGCATCAGTTGCGCCTACTTCCAGGCATACAAAGGAGCGCACATTCACAAGCGTTGCGTCAGACAACATCACTCCGTAATTTACCGCTTACTTGTATCAACAAGACAGGTAAAAACCAAAACAAAAATAGACAACTTACGGGAAAAATTTGAAAGACACAACTGATCCATGCTGACCAAAGGCACGTGTAAGTTCCTCCTCTGTTATACTGGCTCTGCGAACCGATCGTGAAAAGAAGAAAAAAAAGTTCCATGATTAACGAGAAGTTACAAACTGTGGAAAAACTTTTTAAAAACAAGACGTTTTATTCCTTTTTTATGATTTGTTTCACACTTCCTAACCATATGCTGCCAAGGAGCCCGTTTTTGGGTACGTGTTCTTCATACGCACAAAGGGGAGCCCGAAATCGGACAAAAGATCTGGGCCTTGTAACAAAAGACCACACTTAGAACAAAAGACCGAGCTGCTGGGAACCTGTGGAGAAAATCCGTCATTGTTTGGGAAGATTATACCACTGTTTGTGGCATTCAGCACGAGCGGATTACCACCAAGCACAAAAGCGCTCAAGGGATGAGTGATACAATACCGCTACTTGCTAATCTGGCCCATATTGAAAAGACGCCAATAGCGTAGTGCCAGTTTTGGGAACAAAAGAAAATTACTTAACACTGCACAATCTGGGCTCTTTTTACAAGGCGGCAGGCTTGGCTGAAATACTCGGGCATCAATAGATGTTGTCTGTCAGATTAGAGTAGCCACCAGACAGTCATTCGCGTGGGTGTAAACATCAAGCAAATGAAGCTATGATTTTTGGAAGATTTTTGAAAAGTGGAAAATCTTGAAAATCACCGGGTTTTACGTCATGCAACTTCAAATTACACCGGGCAGCAAGTGGCTAAACCCCTCTGGAGCAGAGATAACTCAGCTCTACTCCTCTCGTCACTGGTTCTCCCAGGTGAAGGTATAAGGGGCACCGGCACCCCCCTCTTACCGAGTACGCTGAGCTCCATCCCAGACTCCAGAAAATACCTATGGGATTGGCTATTTATCACTCTGATTTCTTTACAAATTGAAGTAAAAATAAATAACTTTGTATTTTCACGTTGCTCTATTACTTTTATGTTCAAGGAAATTAGCATTATGGAAAAAAAGACTGATTGATTAGTAGACTGAAGGCCTCGCGCTGGTGCAATACAGGCAGAGCTGTAACAGTAGCCATGACATTAATATTCACTATTCCGAGGGGCTTGGTCAAGTTAAGAATGGCCCAAAACTCACGGAATGTTTGAAAGATGAAGGGTAGCGGAGGGTGGGAATATGTTCTGGAAATTCTTGGAGCCCGGCTTCTTGAACCGATGCAGTGGGGAGTTGCTGAAGTCCTTAGTCAGACCCGCGTCCTGCAATAACATCAAGAAACTCAACGGTTTCAAAATTCTCCGTACAGGAAAAAAACAACTGTAGTTCACCCTCATACCAACTGTCGTCTCAAGATAACATCATCTTGTACTTAAAAGAAGGATTCTACAAGTGCCAACTAAACGTCTGCTATGGCGCTGTAGTCGAGTCCTTTTTCTATTCTCAAGAGAAACATATATTAGGCGGGGTAGCTGCATTGCCTAAAACAAGATGGAATACATGACAGGTGTACGAGCAGAGTGGAACATTAATGACATGGCTATGGAAGCAATATTTGGAAACGCACTATGAGTCCTTTTGCAAATACATGGATATTTTTGGGGGCATGCTTTTGGGAATAAACACATCTCATATTAAAATCAAAAGCAGGTTTACACAAGCCATACTATTTTGTCAAATTTGATTCCTACTGCAGCGACTTTCCTGCGTCTGATGTACTTGTTGGACTTGGGAAAATTAGAATCCAACAAAGCCATGTTGTGTGTTTGATTTCAGAGTGCTTTGCTTCACAGACAAGAGAACCCAAGAACTTCTCGGAAGAGGCTAGGAGAAGACGGAAATGAGAGGGGATGATGTTGGCCTTACCGGTTGGCCTTCTCTCGGCATGGCTACCTCGCGGTACTTGGAAGGGGCTACCCTCAGCTGCTTACTGTACAACTTGGCACCGTTCAGATTGGCCAAGGCTGGTTCAAATGCACAAAAACAAGACAAAACCAATATCAGCACCAGTTGCTTGGGATTTGGTTTTAGAAGTGGAATAGGAATATAAACCCATATGATAAGTCCATGTGATTGTAAGTTACGTTACAAATATAATTTCATAAAAGGACTACCGAATTAATTACAAAGAATCAACTGATACAAACAAGAGGTCTCCAGAAAGATGGCCTTAAGGCTCATCCCCTAGGCGCTATAAACTCACCTGTTTGTGCCTGCTGCGCGTCAGCCATTTGAATGAGAGCATTGTCTCTCTTCTCGTACAGAATCTTGACTCGTTTCACGTCGCCAAACACCCCTGCAACCAAACCAAGATTGTATTGGATGGGGATAACCTCTAACATCATTTGAGGAGTTGAACCAAAAAAAGGGGCCCGACTCTTTGTTCTGTGATTGTGAGTTTTCAATACCTTTCCTTGGTTGGCATAATATTGTCATACGTTAGTTTTTCTCTGGCACCTAACAGATTGAAAGATTACACAAGTCAATGGAACTTCAAAAAAAAAAGTGGTGGTCAATGTTTAAGTCTTTTGTGTGCACACGTCAACGGCAGAAAGTGAATTTTTCTTGTACATAGCAGGAATTTTATGCAAAATTAAAAGTCACGCAGATTGTGAGGAAAAAAATCAGGGCAGACTGCAGAGTTACCTGGAATTAGTTAGCAGGATCGATTTCAACTAAACAAGAAAGCCTCAATTAGAAAAAATAAAACCAGCAAGCCAATTTCCTCAGGGGAGTTAGCCTTCAGCAAGTAATTAAAAACCCTCACACCAAGAATTATAAAGCCAAATCAACAGCGTGTGGCAAAACAAAAGCACTTCAAAAATAGAGAAAGCAACACGAATCTCTAACCGACAAACAGAACAATCCTTTAAAAAGTGGTTGCAGAAGATGAGGATTTTCTTCAGCAAGCTTTCTGCGTTCAAGACAGAATGCCACTGAAGTTGGTTGATTTAATTTCAGTACCAAACGACAAAAAAGTCTATGGTGCATGTCATACCTCTCTTCGGGTAAAATGCTGCCCCCTGCTTATCTATTAAGTCAATTGATGTAGAAAACGGGATTTTAAATGTCCAAAGAAAGTTTTCCATGGCAGCATTTTAATCTTCAAACAACCAAAAAACTTGTCTTTTCAAATCGTGTTTTCCTTTTAGAAGTCCTTGCTGCTGTGAATTCATTTGAAATGCATAAATTTCAAAAACATCTGTTTCGGTGTAACACACTGTGAAACAATTTTTTTTGGGGGGGGGGCATTTCTCTTGACATATTGGATGACAGTGAGATTCTATCAGCTTCTGCATTGTTCCGCTAACTGATTTATTGCAAAACTTGGCACCAAAAGAGAATAACAATAATCCATGAAAAAATACATGCACCACCTTGAAGAGCATCCCATCACAAAGAGTAAACCAGAAAACATGCTAACAGGACCCAGAAATTTTCCCATCAGCAAGCAAAACTGAAAAAGCTCCCCCCCCCGGAACACATGCACAGACACAAATAAGTCTAAAAAATAATAAAAGCCTAGACAAAGAAGTAACACAATAAAAATCACACCTCAAAAGAGCTTCACTACAAGACACAACAAACCACTTCAAACCAAACCCATCTGCTTTTAAAAGCCACCCCCTCAATGCAATGGAAACTTCCTTCAACCCAATGGCCCCAATGCAAAGAGGGAAGTCGAATCGGTCATTGGGAAAAACATAGCGAAACATTTTTAAAGCTTGTTTTTACTCTCTGAAACAAAGTCCAAAGAAAACAGAATTCATTTTTCCCAATAATAACTTGTTCTCTGGGTCAATAAATAGGCAACAATAAATATAGCATTCCAAGGGAATCCTTCTGGTTATGAATCACTTCTCAGGATTTGAAATATGAACATTTCTTCTCTGCATGTATGTTTAGGAAGTGTCCATGTCATTACAAAAAGGGTAGAAAAAATATTTCGATGCCCCCGACTGAAAGATTACAGCCACAAAATTTATTTTTTTTCTTTTTTTCAACAGAGTAACTAGGACAAATATAAAACACCAAGCACACTGAATTTAGAAGACAAAATGCTCCAGCATTGGAATTCTTCAGGTTCAACGCACTAATGCATATTATTTGGAGGGGGGCTCCAAAAAATGTACCAAATTTTTAACATTGTTTGCTTTGAGTTAGAACGATACATGTAATTGACGAGGTGGCTCTCGATTTGGTAGTTACTGCACGGAAGTGTGAATTCATTTGCCTCGGGTGCCAGTGCCCCCCAGCTGGCCAAAAAATAGTGAGGCTGGGCAGATGCTACAGATTCGGCAAATGGTTGCAGTATACGCCCCTACCAGATTTTCATTTTGAACAAGCACGCAATCCTGGTGCGGGGTCCCAAGGAAGACTATTACGTGGTTATGAAAAAGCAAACTTCATTCTTATCTTTACGTTTGGAGACTACAAAGCCAAATAAACGAAAAAAAAAAGCCCACTTTCTGGTTGCTGCTTGTTTCATTCTTCTCCACTGACCTCCCTTTTTTACTACTTCTTTTTATCAGAAAATGAAGCCAGGAACGTCGTCTGCTAAAAAAAAGGACCCCGGCTTCCATTCTCATTCATGCACACAAAAGATGCCCGGACAAGAAGTTCTTTTGTATTTTTCACGGGGCCTTACGTTCTCTGGCCCCCAAATCCTGCGGTCCTGTAAGTCTTGTAGCATGACAATTCAACATGCTTGCTGCACACGCACAATCAGTCAATTCCATACAAGATATACAAGACTTAGTGCTTAATCTTTTCCATTGTTAAAAAGTCTTATTCTGTTATGGATTTAAGCAGTTCTGTCCTTTACAGCCTGGTAATACGACAGCAACCATAATTGGAAACCCTGATGTGACTTCTGGGAACCAAGTAAGTTGGCCAAGGTACAAGAAAAAAATTCTTCAAGAGAATGTTGTTTTTCCAACAAAAGCCGGGGGCATTAAAAAAATAAATGCTAAGCAATGGTTCGGGGGATTAATAAACTTAAAAACGGGAAGGGGACAAGGGCATTTTTGTAAATGTTTCTGGTAAAGCTGTCTTCATTCTACAATGTCTGGATGAGGTAAGAACCTTTTTAAAATAAGAAAAACCGACTGGAGGAAATGTTTCTCAAAACATTCACGTGAAATGATACAAAAAAAGCACCACTAGTTTTTCTCCCATTTCAAAATCATTTTTTTAAAAATGGAACAGTTTTACGCTGTGGCTCTTGGATTTTATATGCCAGGAAGCTCATCAAGACAGTTTTATATACCAATCAGTTACAAAAAAGCACCATGGGCTGGTGGGGTACAAATGGGCTGAGGGTGGGATAGGATGCGGTATCTGGCTGGGGCAGGGATTTTGGCAAAGGTAGGGGAGGGATATGGATTTGGTGAGGGTACAGGTTGGGCAAGGGTAGAGGGGTAAATTCCGGGGTTCAGGGGCTGGGAGGGGATATAGGAAGGGAAAACAACAGAGGATGGGGGAGAGTTGCTGGGTCATGGGGAGGGGCTGGGTGAATAAGGGCAAGGTATGGAGAACTTGGGTCAGATGGGAGGACAATAGGGGACAGGGTAAGGGAAGGGTGTAAGGAAGGTATCAGGGTGGGGCAATCCTGTGGGAATCAGTGTAAGGAGAAGGGTGGTACAGAGGGCTCGGCAAGACGGGGAAGAGGTGGGTGGACGGAATGGGTAGGGAGGAGGATGGGAAATAAGGTTTCAGACAGGGTTAGGTCACGGGTAGGAAACAAGGTGGGGGGGAAGGGGTGGGGACAAAAACGTAAAATAGTGCATACCAAAGAGGGTAAAGAGAGCCTGAGGTGTGACCAGCTATGCGACACGTGTAGAAGGCAGAGGTTGTGAGGGCGATACAGCGACAACATGACACAGAGGAGGCGGAAAGAGGAGAGATGGAGAAAGAGAGAAAACAAATCAACAATTTGTATCACAGTTGATCAGGTTACATTAGCAAGGGGCAGTGTCTGTCCACCACATGGCAATATCAAAAAAGACACTAGTAGTATTTGTCAAAGAATTTCCAGCTCTGCTGTTCTTCTTGCACAAGCACGTGGGAAAGTAAATCAAGTTCTTTTATATCTTCACGTAAAAAAGGAAATGCTTCTCATTTCCCAATGCCACTAACTCCAAAAATGGCTGCGGCCCGACAATCAAAAAAGAAACCCGAGTTCCATTTCTTTAAGAACCAGCCTCTAAATGCCTCTTTCTGCAAACTGGCCATAACCCCCCCCCCACGATCGCTTTACAGCAAACTAATGCTCGCTGCACATCTGTAGCCATTTCAATCAAGGTTCATTTTGCCTTCCTTTCTTTGCAGATGTGCGAATAGTAAAACTATAATGGAGACTGGAAGACATCCATGTGCCAAGGGGAACCCAGGGATTTGTGTATTCACTGTTTAGTGTAGAGAATACCTCAGGTAAACTCTTCTCTTCAACTAAATCAACAGCTGATAGGAAAATGAGAAACATTTCATTTGGGGTTTCTTAGTCCTCATTCAAAAAGATTTCTTCAATCTCAAGACCTTTCCCTTTGGTTTTTTCCCAACATCTCGAAACTTTCGAAATGTAACCCATTTAGCAAATTCACACGGGCATTCTTATTTAGGGAAGGGCTTCTAAATATGTAAAAACGGCTGAGTAAAAAAAAAAAACAATCAGTAAAATACTGAGTAAATTTAAAAGTAAATAATGCCTTGAAAAAAGTATTAAATAAAAAATGCAACAGGAATGAAAACATACCAGATTGAAAAAAAAAAAAACCAACTAAAACTGTAGCTGAAAACAAGACAAGTTAAAGATGCAGCTACAAGGTAACAGACCCCTGAAAAAGAGCCCCCCATTTCTCATTTTGTATCGGTAACTACAAGAGAACATCCAGAAATTGAAACTCAAGCAAGATATCCAGAGGATGGCCCATGAAAACCTTGATGAAAACCAAAACACAATTTATATGAAGCCAGGAAAAGTATTAGCCGAGAGCACTGTCTTTTCTACTCCCTTTCTGCAAACCTCTTGACAAGTGTGTAATTTGGATGGCCAGTCGCCATATAATTATTTTAGCTACAAGATTTTTTTTCAAGTGATTTTATTATCGTATTATCAAAACCCTTCCTGTGAAATTTCCGCTTACATGTTGAAAGAGAAGAAACTTGATGTGAACTGGTTGAGACAAAAACCTACTTCTTCATTTCTAACATCTGATTCATGCTGATAACAATTCCCCCCCCCCCTTTTTTTTGGGGGGGGCAAAGAGGCAAAGCCGAAAGCTACATTGTAAGATTTTTCCTTCAAGATCACTTTAATCCAGTGAACAAGACCCTCAGCTTCAAGCTGGAAACAAGCCAACCGGCTTGAAGTTCTCCTGAAATCAAACTTACTTCTGTGTTGAGATTGCTGACCAGGAGCACCGGTGTTCCCTGCATGCTTTGCATGGCTTGCATACCCTGTAGGCCTTGCATGCCTTGGAGGCCCTGCATGGCCAGGGTGTTCTGGAAACGTAAGGCTGCGGCCGCCGCTGCATTCTGCTGCACACTGCCGCCAATGAAGGCACTGCCTAAACCTGGAACTGACGGAAGACAGGACCGATTTTAAGACTGATTCACCCAGCTCTCCTCAAGACCTCTCAAAAGACAAAAAATGCTAAAAAAAAACCCATCTCCACCTGCTGAATTTCAAGAGCAAAACTTGCAACTACTGGCTCATTTTTGATACCTGTATCAGTGTATTCACTGCTTCTCAACTTCACTGTTTGACAGCTTCAAGTAATCAACTTCCACAAGTGATTGACTGACAACATGAGAGGCATTTTTTTCCACGGTCATTTGAATTAAATCAACAATAAAATTACAGTGACGTGTTAGAAATAAACATCTGCTGTGGAGTACACAACTCACAATTCATGTTCTTAGAAACACATCTGACTCAGAATATTCAAATAAAAGGCATGGAATAAACAGAGGGGAAATAGAGAGAAGATGAAATGGAAGTTCTGGGGTAGAGGATCGAAACAGAAATGGCAATTCTGGATTTGGATGACTCGGGCTGTGGTGGACCTAGGAGCGTTCAAGGCACAAACCTACAGCAACTCAGCGCTGCCGACTGGATTAAATTTTTGTTGTTGGTTTCTTCTCTCCCTTGCACGGAGACAACTTTCCTGAAAATATAAGAACCCAAGGTTTGCCTTCATAGCTCGGCAATCCACCACTGACGCAACACACACAATAAACACTAAGGCACAGAGCACGCACGTTGAAAAACGAGGACAAGAGATGCACTTCCTACAGGCTCCAAGAAAAACCGTGTGGTGTGTAGGAGAAGGCGGTGGAGCTACTCCTAATTGAACACGGCACCAAACTATGAATTTCTTTGTTTCAAAAGCGACATGACGCTTCACTGCTTTGGGATACTTTGGAAGAGTGAAATGACATGAGAATGAGGGAAACATGGATTGTTAAAACTGAACAGCAGAGCAAAGTGTGTTAATGCTCTGCTCATGACACATGCTCCAGCGCAACGTGGCATAACGTCTGACATTGCTTTCTCAATGTGCTGTGACCTGTCTCCTCGAATGGAGTGAATTGAGTCAAGTTTTTATTTGCCAGTTATTTCTTTCGGACATATTGGGAGGCCAACAAGGAAGGTTGATGTACATGTCACTCAGCTCAGAGAGCACAGCTGCTAAGTCTGCTGTCTTATACTTTGAAAACTCTCTCCTTCCCCTAAAGTTTCAGATGAAAGCCAAGGTAACCTGACAACGGCAGCTCTGTAACAGTGACATGTCAGAGCCGGAATTTTGTTCTTCTTGTGGCTTTTACTGAAACAAAGTGACACCTGAAGGAAAACTGGGTAAATGTCTCTGCACAAATCAGCAGGAGGTCACAGATTTGAGCATGTCCCATGGAAACCTCAAGGATTCTTCACAATCTCCCTAAAAGCAAAACCTCGTCTGAAGCTTCAAGACCCTTCCACCCCTTGCTTTGGCAGAAGATCGTGACTGAATTCTCCATTGCTGAAACAGTTGGGAAGAACTGGGAAAAAAGGGTGCTTTTGGAGCCTTTATTTCTTGTCATTCTAGGAGTTGCTACACAAGCTTTGTTGAACACAAGATGGAGTTACATGTACATGACACGAAAAAAAGAACTGAAAAGCAGTGGCTAAAAATTGACTTATAGTCAAACATTATACCACGGTGATGGAAATATAACTATATCTCTTGACGGCTTGCATTTCAAACAATCAAATGTATATTGTCAGTTAGTTAATAGGAACATGCAACGAGTACAGTGGAATAATGCAGCATGTAATAATGGCCATGATAGCTAACCAAACACTGACACATTGTTAAGGTACATCTGCCAAAACAATCCTAGAACAAGTGAACTAAAGTGTATTTAAAAATTTAAGACTGAATACTTTGAAAAACAAAACCACAGCAGAAATTTTCAAAAGAGTCAACATATCAATGAAAAAAAAATTCTTCGGTGGACAAACGTTTGCAACTAGTATTCAAAACAGTTGTCTACCGTGTTTAGTTTTAATTTATGAGTACAACTTTCAGTTGTTTTTATATCAATCAATAACTGTTTGGTGTCTGAATCAAAAACAAACTGCCAAGTGAGACACCCCTTTAAGTATAGTGGTACTATCCGGACGACACATACAGAGACCAAAGCAGAGGATCATTCCAAAGCCGAGAGATAGGGGTGGGACACTGGAAAAAAAAAAATTTAGAGGTGAGAACCAGAAAAGCTGAAGTTTGAATTTGGCAAGGCAGAATCAGAAGCTGAGTAAGTTTCAGAACAAAGCCAGAAGGTGAAGAGAGAGTGAGAGAGACACAGCTTCCTGAAGATCTTTTGGGTTTCGCTTTTTTGGTTCTGTACCTGCTGCCGTGGGGAAGCCTGCTAGTGTGGCAGCTGTCGGACTAAACGGTGACGTACTGAGAGACGCCATCTGTAACGCGTTAGGCATCATCGCATGTCCTATGTTAGGGGGAAAAAATATGCCAACCACCGGAGGATTATTGTTCCAGTTCATCACAGACTATTTTTTTCCCCTGAGGAGAATGTTTACACCATTTGTAGTAAAAAGCAAAACAATTAAAGGAACCACAGTACAGTCAAGGGGTTATTCTGAGGAGATTTGTTGATTTGTTTCCTTGAAAGCGGAGTTTCTATCATGATTTTCATGCAAGGAAAAAGTATCTCTAAATATACATGTATCTTAGCACTGCATGTAGAATTCAACAGATATGATTTTCAAAACATTTAGAATCATTTACGATTCATTAAACGCAGCCCATGAAGTACACAAACACGAGAACACTTGCATTAGAATTGTGACGGTAAAAACATGTAACGGTCAAAATAAAACACTGAAATTGTGACATAAAATTCCACACTTCCCACTGCAAGACAAGAACTGAGTGGTTAGGCTTTTTACAAAAACAGTAACATATAAACGGTGCCTTGAAGTGGGAAAATAACACCATTGTGAGAGTGAAACACAAAATGATGACAAGGGAGGGGGTGATACAGAGCATAAGAGTGAACCAGGCCATATTGCAACTAGTTTTATGCCCTCTGTGGGTTCAAGTGGAACGTTATCTGATGACCTGACGTTATCACATGATCGACATATTAAACTTGGAGTTCTCTGGACTCGAGAACTTAATTCCTGCCAAGTATATGACTTGACTCAAGAAATCTTATTTCTAATGACCTGTAGACATCGGCCAACAAGATGACAAACGTTAATTAGCTCTTCACTGTTGACGGATGAGAATTGAAAGTCTGATGGTTTTTAAGACTTTTCTCAAAAATACTTGATTATGTTATGCAACAGCATCTGGTGGCTTCGAATGGGCACTCGAGTCAAAGTCTAGGGCAAAGGATACCATTCAAACCGAACCCACAAATGGCTCACTGTTAGCAAGCCTTTTTTTTCATTGCCAGACATCAACCCGAGCTACATGTTAATGCACTGCAAAGAGCAGCCAACTCCAGAGGTGTCGACTGTGGCGTTAAAACTCCCTCTGGGAAAAACAAAAGCAAAGCAACAGTACACAAGCACATCACTGAAGCACGGCGCACTGAACGGTTTACCAGCACAGGGGTAACTGCAAGGCACAGCAAGACCCAAGGACAACATGCGTGTGACCCTCATTCCCTGATTACATGGCAGAATGGATATCTCAGAGGAGTTCAGCGAAAACTAAACCCATGACATGCGGTTCTAATGATTTGTTCAGCTTGCCAAAGGTTAGAAACATCAGAAATAGAAATGGGATTCAGATGCTTTCACAGATTCACTGTGAGTCACAAACGGAAGCACAGCAATACGAACTGCAATCAAACCTTTGCTATTTTGTCTATATCTGAATAATTTTTTTTTCTCGAGGGGTGGAGAAAACAGGAATTCGGAACTGGTTACGCAAACGTTTGGCTCAGCGTGAATGATTTGAGCTTCACAGAAATAGGTAACTGCCAATGGCATGCTTCATCTCCTAAATCTTTTTCTCAACTGCTCTATCTTATTTCCAAAGAGCAACTGAATCTGTTAAGTGGTTATATAAAACGGCGGATGAGGAGATCTTGCCTGACATTTGTCACAACTTTTTTTCCTGAGCAACGCAAAAAAATTCTGAATGTTGTGTCCAACATTTCGGCCTTTATCTGTCAAGCTTCATTAATTTGTTGAGCAATTCAGCAAATTGTGGATGAAATAGGCTGACTTGTTCTCTCTTCCCTTGCTGGTCAAGAGAATTTTCTAAGCAACATTTCTCCACTGCAAAATTGGCTTTCGGGCAATTTTCGAATGCAGCAATTGGCTTTCGGGCAATTTTCGAATGCAGCAAATGGACACGACCAGGGTGTTCCACGGGCCATGTTCCTCCCTTCCCTTACCCCCGATTCCACCAAAGCCATCCTGGGTGGCGATGCCGTCTCCGGAGGGCAGATCCCGGGTGTAGTCCCTACTCTTGTCATTGTTGTACTTGACCACCAAGGCTGGAAGCTTGGAGAACTCAATATGCAGGGTACAACAGCCATTGTAGATGTTCTGTCCATCTAAGGTCTAAACGGACAGACAGAACAGCAAAACTGGGGATTGGTGGTTATTGAAAAACACAGAAATTTGGGTTGCCATCTCAGTGACAACCGCTGTGTGTGCATGAATATAACAAACCACTGCACTGTTGGGACAATAACATTCCATGAATTTTTGATGATTTTTCCTCAACAAAATTATTCAAATCCATTACCAGCAAGTAGTTCATCTAAATTCAGACTGAAGCTTGAAAACAGTGCACGTACAACGTGTAGATATCAGATTCTCATCGTGTAGTTCAAGGCTTACAAAATCAACCGGTCCTTGCAAAATGTCTAACGTTTCCACGACTTTTGACATTGTCCCCTTTTGATATGACTTTTTCCCAACCTCATTATTAAGTTCGACTTTTTTTTTTACTCTTTCCAGGTTTTCCATAACTACGGCAACCCTGGATAAAGAAAATGTTTGCGTTTGCACAACAGAAGGATACGTTTGTGGAGATCATGAAAAAAATAAGAATTTTCAAAAGAAGTTCAGTTGAAAAATCCTAAGACCAGAATTTAACCGGCGATCCTCGCTTCGAAATGGGTACTTACACTTTTGGCCTGAGTGGCTTCTGCACTGTTGCTAAACTGAATGAGGGCCTGAAAAACATCTGAAAAAGATGTAAACAGTCAAAACAAGTCAAACGTTTGAAGTCTTTTGCATCAGAATGCTCCACTGCAGGGAGAGTGTGAAATTTGGCCAAAGTAAAATCTGACGAAATCTGACGGGGGGGGGGGGCACATCAAATATTGAAGGAAAACACCAGCACCCAGGCCGTTTGTGACTTATTTGTAAAAGAGGCAACAAATATAACCAAAACTGAATTACCAAGGTGGGGTTCATGAAAAAGAAAGAAGGAAAGAAAGGGAATCTCTCCGGCCCTTCAACTCACTGCTTTTGTTGAAGGTAACAATCTTCAGCACCGTGCCGTACTTGGAGAAGATCTGGTGCAGGATGTCCACATTGACTGGGTAGATCATGTTCTCTACCACAGCGCGCAGGACGTGCTGGGGGCCCCCAGGGCTGTCGGCCACCTTGGGTGGGGACAGCTGGTGTTGGGGCAGGAGGGCTTGGGTGGCCTGTATTGCTGCCTGGGCTGCCACGCACTGTACATCAGAAAATACAAGGGAATTCGTGTTCATATTAGTTTCTTTTATTTTGCTGGATTCATTTAACTATTTTTTAGCTCTTTACACATTTTTCACGGGACGGAAAGATACAAAGGCAACAGAAATGTGAATAAACTAAGTGACAAATTAACTTTTAATCTCGACAAACAACAGGTTTAGGCAAACCGACCCATAAACCATACCTAACCCTCCCAGATACTTCAAATACCAATGGATGGTTTGAGAGCTCAGCCTCTATCTCAGTCTCAAGGTCCCTTAAAGTTCTAGAACATGTACAAACAATGTGTCAATGGTTTCCTGTACGGTGGAAGATTCGACAGGATCCATAAACGTTTCAAACAAAACTACCCGCAGGGATTTCTTGTATTCAATACAAAAGTTGCAAGTTAATATCTATTTCTTTAACACAGCAAATTGTAAATAATTATAATAAAAAAAATTTAAATGCATATTGAATTGATTTTCTTTTCTCTTTTAACAAAAAACAAGCAAACATTGGAGATTAACTTTTATATTTTGACATCAGTATTCTTTTATTTTCTGTTTAAACTACATCTTTTGTCAAACTCCACAACTATTGAAATCCGAGGCAGAACTGGAAATAAGATTAAGAGGTACAGATTCAGAGGAGCACAATAGTTACATTCAGAGATAAAGGAGAAAAAAAATAATGTACATAAAAAGGTGAAAATCGAAAAGAAAAGTGACACCAACAGAGACAGTGTTCTTGTCCAGAGAGCCAGAAGAGGAGTCGCTATCAGAGAGAAGACCCCCGGCAGAGGAGGGGCTGTTTAGCACGGCGTTGACAGCAGCCAGGGCAGCCTGTACCGCTACCGTCTACAAGAAAGGAGAAGAGGAAAAGAGAGGGTGGGGGGGGGTTGGATGAAAGGTGGGTGTGGTTGGTGGGAGAAGGGTTTATGGTGGTGTGGTGGATTGGGGAAAGTGGGTGTGGTTGGAAGGTGTGACAGACAATTGAAGGAAGTGGACGCAAAGGGGTCGATGTCAAAGGGCAGGGCGGAGTCAGAGAGCAGGCGGGGTTGAGAGAAGAGAAAGGCAGGTGTCAATGATGAAAAGCAGACGCAGAGTGGTGGGGTCAGCCAATGAGAGACAACGAAGTGGATCGAACACCACAGCAGCGGAAAGAAAAAGATGATGATGAAGTGTGGGTAGCCAGGCATAGTTGATCAAATGTAATTCAAAAAAAAAAGGGGTGAGGGCAAGACATGGGACATCAAAAGAACAAAAACAGAAAGGAATGGAATGGACCGATGTGATGGGAAGTCATGACAAACGGTAGGGGAGTTGATCAGATGAATGGGGAGTTTTATTTGGAAGTCAAGGTATTGCATGAACAAAACATTTTGAGGAGATAAAAGACGGAAGGGGAAATGGGGAAAGAAGAAAAGAAAAAATACAAAATTTCAGATATTGAAATATGAAAACCTTTCGACTTACCGAGTAATTAAAAAGTGACTGTATTTCTAATTTGACTATGACATGATTTATTGATTTTGATTACACTTATGACCCATTTATTTTTCAGCTTAGAACTATTACAGTAAAAGTCAAGTAGCGTACAAAGCACATGTAACATCAACCGATATCATGACTGCAAAGATTTACACACTGTGTAACTAACAAGAATCCAATCAAATCCAAGCAATCTGAATCACAATAACCTCATTTGGGTGTATTTTGAGTATTTCCATTCACTATATCCTACAGTAAAAACAATTTTAAAAAATTGAATTCTAAAACTATAGTTTCCAAGCCGCTGTTCATGACAGACATTAAGTGGTCAACACAGATAACGACTTCTAAGGGAAAAGTACCGTGGCGTGATACTTTGAACTGTGGATTCCAATATCCTACAGGAAGAAAATATATTGGGAGAATGGGTCGGGAGGGGGGGTTATAGTGCAGGTGGAGTCACGTTGTGAGAAACGAGAAAACAGAGATCAATTTTCAGTCATTCAATAGTTCCAAACAGGGATGACGCAAGCCGATGCACACACACACACAGACACGCAAGGGGCAGGATTTGTGACAGAGCGGGCATAAAATATTTAATTTGGCATGAGAATGAGCAATCATATGAAATTATTGTAATGCACGTTCACAAAGAATGAGGGCGTGGGACAGAACGGAAGCGAGTTTGTGTTAAGGTTGGAGAGGGACAGGAGAGGGGAAGAAAGTGTGTGGAGCCAGAACAGGGGACACATTTTTAAAGAGGAACGTCGAAAAAAGAAAGATGAAAAATTATCCACAAAGCGTGGGCAATGATATGAAATGAAGAAAAAAAGTACAAAATGGGAACATAAAATGCAGACGGGAATTTCAGGATTTCCGATGAGATGAAATGGAAATAGGGGAAAAGGTGGGAGGGGGGAAGAGAGAGAATCAGAGAGGGAGAAATGAGAAGGGAGAGAAACAAGACGGAAGAAAAAAAATGTTAGCATTCAAAGCATTAACACATGATTCACGGATCTCTCCATGAGCAATAGGATGCAATCTTGTACAGGTTCTGTTCAGTTTCTTTGCTGGCTTAATGAGTTTCCGAGGTTTTCTTTGGCACTGCCAACATGACAGAAAAAGTAGCAATGTCTTAACTTTTAAGCAGAGTTTGGGCAAGGAGTTTTTATGTTCAAAACGAAAAAAAAAAGGAAAGAAAGATTTTCAAAGAATCTACAGACGGAATCAGCCATTAGATACCAAATCAGGAAATGGGTTTCAAACTCTCAGTTTTTCCAGTTCTAAAATGAACCTTCATTTCAAATCAGGACGAATCGCCTGCACCGCACTCTGACAGACACAGCATGTTGGAAACAATGCAGCGCGGAACAACTTCAGCGGGATGTCACCACGTGTTAGTGATGTCATCACATGTTAGTGATGTCACCACATGGTAGTGATGTCACCACATGTTAGTGATTTCAAGACAGAGGTGAGATGAGAAACAGGAAAGTAAAATGACGACTTCAGTAGCATGGAAGGGGGAAAACTAGATGATGATTATCTGAGGCTAAAGCGTATGAAATCACACCAAGATATAACCAAAAACAAATTGTCCTTTTTTGAGGACAGGCACTGGGCAACAGCTGGTACGTGTGCGTCAGTTGATAAGGACAGTATAATATCAGGGTAGAGCAACCACAGAGCAGGGACTACATGCACACGTTACACATGTATATACATCCATAGACGCAGACAAATTCTGACTAAAAAAAAAAAACCACCCAACACACGGTGCCAAAATAACAACCTCTCGATAAATCATAGTAACAGTGTTTTGTTCACACACAAAAAGGTGCAGCAGCTTGGCACTTGAATACACCCTAGCATAGTAATCAACAGGGATGCCCATGGTCACATTTCTCTTGTCCCCTAACGAGCCTGAGTGTGATCCCCTTGGCCACACCATCAATCAAGCTGTGTGGATTCCAACAATTTGGGCTGAACATTTGTACATGTACATAGTTTCTCCCCACACACTGTACAGGAATGTGATTCCCCCCCCCCCAGCTTTTCATGGACCTGCGCCTCCTAAAAACAGGTGAACAATGCCCCTGTCTACCATTGTGTTTACCTTCTCAGGTGTTTTTTTTGTGTGTGTGTGTGTGTGGTTTGTGCAGAGCAGTTGGGGCTGGGATAAGTTGTTTTGACTGTCTGTCTGGGTTGGGCCATGACAAGTCTGTTACTGAGAGTAATTAAGCCTGAACCAGAGACCTTGCGGGTCAATTGTATGGGATATCCCCAGGCAAAACTCCAATGAGTTCCCCAAGGCAAAGGAATACAGCCTTGCTGGCCAAATTTGACTCGTTAGCAAAGTGAAGTGGAAGGATTACAAGCCGAAATGTCACCGGATCCACACAATTTTTTTTTCACATTAAGATTGAAAATGGGGCACAGCATGGAGAGGTTGGTAACTAACACAAGTTGTAAATGCTGCTCGTTCTTCTTCTCTTGTAGGCATGCAAAAATTGATAGACTTTAATCTACATGTACTGCGAGAGTAATTTTAAAACATCGGTTGGCCTTATATGTATTTCACATCGTTCGGTACTTTCAGCTTGGACAAATATCACAAGCATGTGCGTATCCTCCTTTATCGTGGTAAATCAAGCTGCAATTTAGCTTTGAGACACTGGTCTCCCTTGACTTCCAAAATCAAAAGTATTCACACCCCTACACTACAGGGGAACCCCGGTCCCCCCCCCCCCACCCACTCTCGACCGAACTGATTAACACAGCGCCTGGACGCTGAGAGCCATTCACACCAGGAGGGAAATTCAGGCTCGGGTGACAATTTTTCCCAGTTGCCTTGACAACAGCTATATTCCCCACCGCCCGTGCGCCACATTTTCACGGCTGCCGGTCGTGCCAAGTTAACATGACACCTTCTCGCAGGAAACGTCATGCATGCTTAATGCAGTCGGCCCGTCACCGATAATTTGCTCTCTTGGACCTGTCCTACTTTGGCAACAAAAACCCATTTTTGTTTGGCGGCACACTTAAAGGGAGAAATACAACCCACCCATTTTCATTTTTACTCTCTCTACGTCCACATTGCAAAATCAACGCTGCAGAAAGGCATCTGCTAGGGATGGATGGCCAGTACACATGTCCTAGAACAATGCTCAAGTTTTCAAACTGAGACCTCCTATCATGTAGAAGTTAAGACTAATTTTTTTTTTCCACAGGCCGCTGCAGCGTCTGGCTTTCTCAACCAATGTGATGGATCACTTCAGTCCCTTCGCTCCTCCTTCCGCCATTTCTGATGAATTGACGGAGCGCCGATCTACCCCTCAGTGACATCCATTAGACATCGGCTTCCTGACATAAATTTGGAAACACTGTGCTTAACGGGACGCACAGTCTCCATTCCTGCGTCCTTTCATTGCTTGACTTTGCCAAGCATACGGACGGACGCTAAACAGAATGGAGGGAGATATTTTTCCCAACTCTCCGATAAGCCCAGGATCTGCAAGTGATTGCTTGAGGTTACTGCTGAGATATCTCCCCAATCAGAGTTGTCAAGTTGACACCACTGCAAAGTTTTATGTCATCCCTTCGAACAAAAGAAACATCATCTATTCTTACTCAGTGTCTGCATGCAGCCAAATGTATTGATGGCCACTGTTGTCGCATCATTGCTCATACCAGTCATAAACCTACTTGACACTTAAAAGCACATGTTCAGCTTTGTAACGGGAGCAGACACTTGGTACACACTCCCTAGTTCTACCTGAGCCTTGAGATCCGAGACAACACTAAATCTCATTGTATAAGTGCTTACCCTCTCGGTAATGGAAATTGACCTACCGGTATTTCGGGAGCCCTTCATTTCAAAGACTGCTCAAATTACAGGCACAACATTGCCAATGACTAAAGCGTACTTGCAATTCCCAATGTATAAACACACACAGAGTTCTGAGGGCCTCTTCTCTGTCTTATAAATCCGGGGTCCAAAAATCGGTCCAAAAGGTTCTTTCAAAGAATCCTTTTGGGAGCTGAAACTTATTCATGCAGGAATTCTGCTTTTTGGAAAGTTGCAAGTAAATTTCCTTTTCTATATCAGTTCATTGAAAAATATCTTTGCTAACCCTTTAAAATCTCCTGAATGCTCTCCTGGCACTCCTCTCGACGGCAAACTCTGATTGGGCATTACGACGGGAGAGGATTATGTCGAGCCTGCTGCGCTAAATAATAAATACTGTTTTCACAGACTCGAGAAATGGCCATGAATTGGATTTCCATTTCACTGAGTTTTGAGGAGACTCAACAAAAAAGGCCTGGATTTGCTCTTGTTAACCCAATGTGTCACCTTCGAAAAAAGTTCAGCAACGAACAAGAAATGGAATCCTTAAAAGAATAATGACCCAAAAAGGGCAAAATAGTTTGGAACCCAGATCTTTCATGGGAGTATAAGTGCATGAAATTCAGAACGAACAGACCTATTGGGGGGGAATAGTGACAAATGACTGAGTAATATTCAATAGGAAGTCTTCACAAGAAAAACACTTAGAGCAGCTCAAATAACAACCCCTTCAGACAGGCTGCCGCTCAAGGGAGTCAAAATGGCTGAAATATGGCATCACCACTTGTTAAAGTAATTACACTGGGGAAAGATGCCATTTCTGATTCGGGATACTTGCAAAATGAAAAAAATAAGAATATCTTAAAATGAAAAATAATAAATCACAATTTCAGTGAAATTATTGGCAATTTGTGGATGTCTTTGAAATCAGAAAATTATGGCATGCAGATCAACAGTGATGTTCTTCTTGAGAGAGTTGGGTGGGAACTCTCAAACCTATGGACAGTAATGCAGTTTATCCAATCTGTTAAACTACAATACTTGTGGGCCTGGTGAGCGGAGGTAGCAAAGACTTAATGCCTTGCATAACAGCAATGATGGATATGTAGGTGTGCTTCAGAAAAAAATATGAGCTAATAATATCATTTCAATTTTAGTGAATTTTAAATATGTGGTTATTACAACAGACTTTAAAGCTTACATTTTTTTGAAAATGGACAATAAAGATAAAGAATATTCATTATTTCCTGACAGGGAACAAGCGCGATTGAAAATGCAGTTGCCAGTTTCTTTTCTTCAAATACATGTACATCATCCAACTCCAGGGGCAGTTGCTTCAATCAGACTGGAAAACCAACTGCAGCTACCTTTAACCATTTTGCCCAGAATCTCGAAGCCATTTATCGAGTCAATGATCACTCTTGCCCGGCACTCTTGTGTCTCCCTCGGAGGGGTGTGAATCAATTAAAATCCAGTTAACTCTACTGAGCAGCCAGGCGAGCGGGCACTGGCTACAGTGTTGTCTTCAGACGGAACAGCGACTGGGGTCGGCTCGGAGCAACAAATCGGATGTTAATGACTTTGGATGTTAAGGTGCGCATGAGAGGACAGCTTCCCAGTGAGTTACTAAGGAAAGGCCAAGTTTGGCTTGGTTGGTGTGGATGTGCTGTACTGTACTGTGATTGTACATCGAAAACCTGATGTGCTCATCAAAGAAACGTCTCAGTATGTATAACTGTGTTAACATCCAATACCATACTGTCATTCTATCAATAGGAGACTTTGAGACGCTGGCGGCAGGAGACATACCAGTCCTTCTTCACAGTATTTTTGCATGCTCAGAACGACGCAGGCATGCTCCGAGCAAAGCCTGCATGCTCAGAACTGTTAGAAAGGACTGGTTTGTTTGCTGCCACCAAGTGTTTCGTAATGCCAGCTGGAGGCAATTAAGAAATATCCCACAAACCTTCAACCCTCAGGAAGCAATGGCCATTTATGACAGGTTGTCAATCGACCGGCACTCACGATAACAAGCATGTCTGTGCACATACAAAGGCCCCCCTTTTTTTTCATGACAGTGTTGACTTCAGTGTCTAGTTTCTTTCCTGTTAAACATTAAAACCAAACTGACTATTAACAGGGTGTCGTGTGCCTTGGCCAGCTGAATTGGCCCACAAGTCCGAGGTTGCTGAGGAACAACATGGATGTGCGTTCCCATCATTTAGGCTGAGGACCTTTCACACATTTTCTGGATAATATTCTTCCGGCTATCCTGTCAAGTTTAACCAGTTATACACGCACCTGTACTGCAGAGTATTTGGACAGTAGCAGCAGAAAAAAAGGAATGCGAACACCAGAAAAAATACATGGACAAGACTTAATTCTACAACCCTTGAATGTACATTTCCATGACCTGAAGTACAGACTATTGACAGATGACGGTATGTGAGAGTGGGATGATTGAAATTTTAGATGGGTAGACTTTTTCAAACTTTCTTGACGACAATAGAGGACAGCGTTCTGAAAACTGGTATCACCAGAGTCCTATTAAAAGACTTTTCCAAAAGCAGGCATGACCAGGGAACGATTTTTCTACATTCTGAGCTGAAATGTCACCAGTTTTGCATCTACCGGAACCTAGAGACCCATATGGCAAAGCCCACTGCAAGATGATGGGATGCTGTTTGTGTGTTTCCAAATGGTTGTCATGTTTGCCCCATTTCAAGTCAGGTGCCACGGGATAAATCGATCAGATCCCCCAAAGTCTTCAGGCCTTTTTTTCAGTAATACAATTTTACATGTTAAGTGAACTAGGGAAAAAGGGAACCAGAGTTCTTGGTTTTTGTGTGCTGCTGAATTTGGCATCCTGACGAAAATGGACATTATACGCGGGCAAACTGTTAAGTTCCTAGAGATTTAAATTTAGCATGACTCTTTCAAAGGTCTAAACTCAAAAGTAGCTGTGGCAACACGTTACTTGAATAGTTTGTTTGGTGGCGTCACAAATTTCACAGAACCGCAAAGGACACTGGTTTTGGTGGGGACAAGGGCTTTACTCAATAGACACAGGTCGGCAGCAACATTTTTGTTTGGCAAGTACACTTACAAGGCAACACTTGCTGCTTAGCATCCAAAGTGTGGGCCTAAAGACGGTATCATTAACCACCTACTGCAAGAGACAAAGACCGTGCTAGCTAATGTCTAAAAGCCCCTATCCCTTCTCAAAGGGACCTTCCAGGGCTGCAAACACATTTGGGGTGTCCACACTGGAAAGCTGCCCTGTTGGGTGCCGATGAACCTACCTGATGTGCTGGCGAGTTGTCTGTCTTCAGTTCCTGGTGTTCCGAGAATTGAACGAAGACCGGCTGGCCGTGAAGGTTGGTCGTGACCTGGTTGTAGTAGGCGATCATCTTGGTGGCCTGACTGACATCGGCTAGCTCTATGAAGGCCTGAAAACGGAAATCCCTTTTCAGTCATAAAGAAATCTGTTACGTCCACCTTGTGGGACACCACAGATTTACATGTTGCCTGTGGAGTACATCTAATTTTGAATAGTTCAGCTCGTAATTAACGCACAAAAAATGTTGACGCAAAGTCTTTCCCAAACTAACGTGACTTGTCAGGCAGGCTTTACAAAAATGTAACTCTGGTTTCACTGGCATGAAATGATCAATCAAAGGGGTGTCAGCGCATCACAGGTTGGTCCCTGTCTAATGCAAGCACCCTTCCATACCCTTTGATGTAGAGAGGCAAGTAGGGTGAAGCAGCTTGCCCACGGCAACAAACTGTGGCCACAGTTGGATTCCAACCCCTGACCCTTTGATCGCAAGTCACAAACTTTAACCACTCAGCCACACTCCCTAATTGATGTTAAAAATCCATTGACTGTCAGCTTTTTTTGTTCATCTACAGTACGGACGTGAAGAAAAAACTGCAATGTGCATTTGCATTTTAATAATAATAAATAATAATATACATTGTTTAAAGCCTATTACATCATAAAACAGATCTCAACATGTTGTACATAAATAAAACACGCAAATACTATGACCTTACGACTAAAATAAAATTACCTACAAATTATACAGTAAAAAGCTACAACATGATGCCGGACCCAACACCCCTAAAAGACCGGCCACCCACCAAACACCCATTTTAAGCAGTAACTGGACATTTTAACCCCAAGGTACCCCAGAATACCCCATGAAACCTCCCAGTACTTCCAGGCAAACCTCAAGTTCGATGTACCTCCTCTTTCAGTCCGAACGCTCTTCCCTTACCTGGCCTTTGTTTCTGATGCACAGGACCTTCTTGATGTTGCCAAACGGCGCACCTAGGCCGACCACTTCTGCCTCGGTGACGTGGGGTGCGAGGTTGCGGATGTGGACCACACGAGACGGGGGTGCTGCCTCCCTCTTAGCCTGGATAAACCAAGAAAGCAACCGGCGAAGAGAATTGCAAATATGTCATGCTTGAAAAAGGGTCGACAAAGTACATGTAAAAACTTGAACGAAAGTTGAAACACCAACAGCACTGTCTGATCTATCCAATACTTCGACGGAAACCTTCAAACACAACATCCAAATCATTTTAACCTGCAGAACCAGTCCGTGTAATGGGCTGGAGAGCCAAGCATTGTTGCGTACAGACTGTATCCAAACTCTCATTTCTGTTGAAATGGCTTAAGACCACAATGTGTCAGAAACATGAAGTGCAACCAAATACTGTCCGATTTTAAACTCAGAATGAGTTTGTACCACTGATCACTAGATCAACGGGAAATAAAACAGTCTGATTTTGAAGGAGATGCTGAAAGTGCTAGGCACTGAAATGTGCTGAGGAGTAGCCCTCTTTTCTCAGAAATGTAGCAACAACTCAATTTTGTGTGTTTGTGTTTACTGGGTCATATCTGTGGATCAACGAATGTGTCCACTTTGAAATCTTGTAAGTCACGCATACTGCCATTTACAGTTAAACTGGGCAGTACTTGCTTGCCCCAAATTTTACGGTAACAAACTGTAATTACATCCATCACTGAACAACAAAAGATACAGAAACATAATATATTTCAACTACTCCGCTGATTAAATAATTGCAATTACACAAAACTTCCCAGTACTTCATAAGTGACATTTTCTAGGAAGATACATGAGCCTACACGTATATGCATGTACAGTGTATTCTCTATAAAGACCATTAGATTTGTCATATTCAACACCGCCCCACTTTTTTTTATTAATCAATACAGAGCCAGGCCTTGAGGATACAAGTATGAAAGGCATGTATAAATTACTTGTCAACATCCAATTAACTGATTGCACGTGTTCAGATGTCCTTCCTTTATCCATGGAGGAATATAAAACACATGCTCTATCAGAGGAACAGCCAGCCTTGCCATTTTCTGTTTCACTGCTTGCACCCAAGAGGGCAATAAACGCACCCTAGAGGGCAATATACGCACCCCAGAGGGCAATATACATGTTATTCACTGCCAAGAAAGGGAAGGAGGAAACATAAGAATTACATTGTGGCCGGTTACATCATTTATGTTTACCCGTCTTTGTTGCCATTTATCCCAGCATTCACAATCACCAAATGTCTATGCAAATTAATAGTGACTATGATCACAGTGTATGCAGAGGTCTTACCAGATCCCACAAAGTGAGTCTTGAGGCCACTTATCTATTAAGTTGACTTAGTTTGCATTAGACAGGAAAAAAATGGCTCTTTGTTTTAATGTCTCACTCCGTTTGGCATTCTGCTGAAAACGGATAAAAATGTAGGAGAAAAATGTTAAGGGTTCCTGTCCTTTTCCACTGTGCAAGATCCTTTTTAAAGGCTACAATGATGAAGTGGCTCAGGTGACTTAGGACACATTTCGTTAGGTTGGGGCGCAAACATCAGGGTGCACCTTTTCAAACACTGGCCAATATTCAGGTCTCAGACATAGCCCAAGTGTTTTGTGCACGGACAAAGAAATGGACAGCAGTAAGGCTTCTCTCATCTGCCCAACTGAATTTGTAAACAGTTCCAACCTGATTCAAAAGGACCGTTGTACACAGGCAGCGAGTGTTATTAACAGGGAACCGGCCTTGGGATCCTGTTAATAATATGCAGAAATACCAACAGGTGGTTAATGCATAGAAAGTGCGGCAAGGCCGGGGCTGACTATTAGAAAGTACACGACCCACTGATGACTCCAATGATATGCAGACTGTGCTCATATTGTTCAGTGAGGGCTTTGAACATGGACCCTGCTAGCAATAGGAGCATTCCGATCATCTGCACCAACACTTTACATGTATCATAGCCAACATGAACCTTTCATCAACATTAACATTGTGCATTTGGGGGGGTTTCCAATAAAAATCGGTATGCCATGGACAGGAATCAACCACAATTATTCAACTGCCAAGATAAATTTGTCCAAAGTAACTTGTTTTATTTTCTGGAGCAATGCCAACGGAGGCTTGAGCAGACTAGCTCAGGTGGCAGCATTCTGTTGAGGAGTAAATATGATGGACTGTGTTTGAAAATACCTGGCTCTGACACAAGTGACACCTGCCCATGAGAAACCGATGCACCACCCAACCAGTGGTTTAGGCTGCATCCGAATCTGTTGTCTAGAGCTACAGGGCTACAGATCTTCACTCCACTGGAAATACATGGAGACTCGCAGACAATGGACCTAACCGTAGCTCTGGAAACCCATTTCGGACACGGCCTTAGTTATCACGTGCAGTGGCCAAACAATTAGGATGTCGCCACAGCAGGAATCCATATCGTTCACTTCATCAACTCTTCTTAACTCTGTCCAATTTCACCATAATTTGCTTGGGCGTTCCATCAAGCATTTACACGGACTGGATTTTTTTTCATTCGGCTTCATTTTGTTCTCGTTTACACTGAAGAAAGTCTTACCACTTGATAAATCTTAGATGTTAAGGGTACAAATGTACAGTGCATACGAATTTCAGTTTGGAATAAAATAATTACCAGCAAATCTAAATGAACTGGCCACATATCTGCTTGGTCTGTTCAAACCAATTAACTGATCAAATACGAAATCTGCTAGCATACTGTACATAAATGCGAACACACACGTAGCACCTGTTGTACCAGGATTGCTGAATCATTGGATTTCTAAGGGGGGAATTGAGGGGCAAACCCTTGAAAGGTCAGGCAGAAAAGACCAACGAGCAAAGCAGAGGGGCAAAGCCTGACTTGGCTGAAAACCAGCTTAATGACGCATGATGTTTCGTCTGGCAAGGGGTGACCTGTTTCTGCTTGGACTCATCTTTTTCTCGGTTACGCAGCTGTAATAAATGAGATCTGAGCATGTGCCTTGAATGCAGCGGGTTACCATGGAAATTTACATGTTAACCCTCAGTAAAACGGGGCAAGCAGCACAAAAAAGCCATTCTTTCAGAATGGTGAACTCTCAAGGCTTTGAATTGATGGCAAAAATAGAACAGAGACTGTGTCTCAACGCAATGCAGTCTAATCAACAGAATTCACAACTTCATTGGCGAATGATTTAAAAGGCACATAAAGTACGTGAAAGTGATGCTTTCCCAAAGCACAATGTGCATCATTTTGAGGACTGTTCTTTCAACTTTGAGTACAAAACAATAATTATTTCCCACTCACGTATACCTTGTGACTGTGCGGGGCATTAATTATGCACGCATACACATTTATGCATATTAACGCTTGCGTGCAATCGCTAAACTGTGCCATATGGAGAAGCTACAGTCAAGCCACGGTTCGTTGCACCAAGCCAGGCAGCGATGACGGCAGCAAAGTAAAAATTTCATGGCGATGGGAAATGAACTCTGGGTAATGCAACATTAATAAAGAAATAGTGGCTTTGTCCTGGAACAATTATGCTTGTAATGGACACGGTCGAGGGGTCGGGTGATGAATGGTAGGGCCTACAAGAGATGAAAGTCTCTTCACTTTAAACACATGTGGCTAGTGGATAAAATTTTCAACTCAAGCCGTAAAGAAGTGACAAATTCTCTATTCCACTTCAATATTCCCTCCCAACCCAAAAAAAAAAATGAAGACTGCACTTTACAAAAGGTTAAGCTATTTTGTGTTTTTTCCTCTGGCAGATGTGCATGCCATTTTGGGGGTTTCCACTGCATGTGTTTTCGTACATGGTAAATATGGATAACATACCATTTCCATAAAACCAACTTCAATACGTCGCTATCGCATGGGTAGCAGAGCTACATGCCTGTGTGGACCCATGAACAAAATAGGTTCACATTTAATATTATTGCACCTTGTGTGGACTAACCAGGTCCACACAAGGTCATTGTGCCTCCCTTTCTGGAAAACAGTTCTGGGAAATTGGGAGCACTTTTGGGCTAGGGTTGGGGTGGGTGGGTGGGGTTAGGGTTAAAGAAACCATCAAAACCCAGTTTCAAGGAGTGTTCTCAATGCAAGACATGTTAGAATTTAACTGAATATTCTTGAGTACTAGGTAGGTATTAACCCTAACTCCATATGGTGTATATAAAATTGTATTGAAATTGGAGGATTTGGGACTGTTAGGGTTAATTAATGTAAATATGGCTGACTACATCAGCTTACACATTGTTCTTTTGTTTTCCATTATTGTTCTATGTTACTTTTCCTTTTTTTACATTTTTTTTTTAGCTTTCTAGAGTGAAGTGCCGAGGAGCATTGTGTGTAATTTATAATGGACTGACGCTTTATAAATGTATTGTTATTATTGTTAGAACGTACATGTACGTATGTAGCATCTTAAGTACCCATTTGTGACAACTACTGGAGTGTTTGTTCATCTATAAATGTGCTTTTATTCATTTCATTCAGTTTAAAGTGTAGCTGCAATGAATTTTTCTTTGACACAATTTTTCTGCCTCTTTGTATGTTTCTTCAAAGCACGAGAATTCTTCCGCCCTCCTATTTGGTTAAATGCTCTGAAAAGTGCATACATGCACTTTTGAACAATCAAAATTATCCATGTTTTCCCTGACAATTGGGGGCGCTGTTGCTGTGAAGTCATCTAGGAAAGACATGATTAGTGCATGGGTATTTCTGTTCAGATTGTGAACCCAGAATTCAGTTAACTGATGACATTTCTGAGAAAAGGATTGTTTCTTATTGCTATGCATATAAACAACATGAATGGATCAGCAAAGAAGAGAAAACATTATCTGGGAAAATCTACAAAAATGCAGGACTCTTTGTGCAAAAACCAATGTAACATTGAGGCTTCTTCCTGAAGCGTTCACTGAATGTCACAGGTTCCTTCCGATTTGATCCCAGCTGGAGTCAGGGTTTTACCACACAACTGTTGCCCAGTGCCTGCAGGCTACATGTGTGACTGTTACCATGGCATGCCCATGGTAACCCAATCGTGGCATAGGTTATCATAGCGCTTAAT